GGTTGGGCCACGTGTTACGTATTCCTGAACACCGATTACCACGACGCTCTATGCCGACTAGTATTGAGGATGGTTGGAAGAAAGTTAGGGGCGGCCAAACCAAAAAGTGGCATCAGAGCATGAAGTCAATAAATTCTAGTCTGAGCCATGTTGGTAGATGCAGACTACTTGGTTGGGGTCCGCGTGACTATCGTAACCAATAGTTGGAGACTCTGTGTGACATGGCTCAGAATCGATCACAATGGCATAGGTGTATACACTCTTTTGCGCTGATACGGCTGAGAGTGGGGAGAGTCTGCTCTCCCTCTCGAAATGCTCTCATATGGCCGCGCGAATATATAGCCTCTGTCAGGAAAGTCCTACTAACTACCTTCTCGTGCCACAGGTGTTGTTCACAAAAGTGAGAGGACGAAAAGCGAATGTCCGGCGCTTTAGCCGGGTTGGTGGATGTGAAGGATCCACCTAGGGGAGTTGGAAAATCCTGATTCCAAACCAATGGTGCACATGGGCTCCAGGATCCTGAAGGAACAAATGGCGTATGAACCAACTGTTGATCACCGGCTATCATGGGACTGCATCTCCTTACGATGCTCCACTGCCTTGTGGATGAGACCTTTAGGTCAAAGGCTTCTGGTGTGGTCCCCTAAGAAAACCACCTGCTTCAGTGTTGGGCAATATAAATTTGGCTATCACCAATATTTCGACTTTCCGCTTAATTCCATCATCATTCTTCAATGTTGGTCATCTGAATCGAGGAACAATCATTTTTATTTTAAAAACTATATATTCTTGAAATTATGTTTGTTTTCACTCAGCAACTATACAATATGTAGCTTTTATTTGTAGAATAAAATAGTTTTTTTTTAAAAAAAAAGGAAAAAAAAAATATAAAGAACCGGGATCAGCTAATACGGTTTCTTGTTTTGGTTTTCTCCCTTCGTGTACACACTAAAAATTCTGTAAAAAAATAAACTAATAAAGGCATTACACAAACATGTTGATGATAACGAAGGCAAAATGAAAGATTCAACAGTATTTAACACCAATAGAATAAAGATGAAAAAAGGTAAGTACGGAGACGAAATCGAATGTACAAAAAAAATGTGAAGAAGCTAATTCAAGAAGATTGTGGAATAGGAAGTACCATTAAGGTTTATGAAGTATAAGAACAATGAAATAGTGTGCATGTATGTCTGAGTTATGTAAAAACAAAGAAGGTAAGTGTCTTCACTGGAATGCATTCCAATGAGGAAATTGAAGAAGAAAATGAATAGCTTCTTAGATGAAGATGATGATGTTGATAATGATACTTGTCCAGGTTATTTTTCGCGGTTCAAAGTGAACAATTCAGATTACAAAAGTATCTAAATACAAAAATAATAAAAATATATGACTTGTTTAGCATGTAAGCATGAATTACGATTATAATGAATGATACACAAAGCAATTACGGAATACTTGATGCTAACAGTAATAATAAGAATAGTTAACATCTTAGTAAAATCTGAGAGCCATACAGTAAATATGTCGTTTGCAAAATGTCAATCAATCAACTCAAATTTCATTGTTGAAAGTGCGAGTCGATTGAAACTAGACCACCATGGAAAACCTGGAAGCACTGGAAGACCATTTCGTCCTATAATGAGAATTCTCAGCAGTGAGCATGTGTAGCAAGCCCATTAAACTACTGTATTTTTTATGTGCTCTCTGTAATCCTAACATTTAACCCACTGTAAATTTATGTGTGAGTCTGATTGAGCACATGTCTGCACATCAATCTTTAATCTATTCTCTCATTGGTTGTAAACAAAGACAATCAATAATTTATCCACAATCCATTAACACTCAAAAATATATATGGATTTTTAACACTCACACACACACACACACACACACACTCACTTGCTTTCTGTAAGCTTGCGGATTTTACCGAGCTTCATCAATAAACTAACTCTATAACTGGTGTTCAGGCTTTTGAATAATCTCGAGTAAACCCGTAATTCTACTAGGAGATTTAGCCTGCAGTAAAATATCAGTTAGCGGGATATTATTTATTTATTGGACTCAGATATAGAGGAAATTAATCCTCTACACATGCACGATCCCGCCTGGCGAGCGAAATTCAAATCCGGGACCTACCAGTCTCGAGCAAGAGCACTTAACCGATAGACCACTGAGCTGGCATCCAACGGTTTTAATGTCTATCTTCGAATTATCTACAAAGTTGAGTGACCGTTCACCAACTGTATTCAGTGAGTTGATATCTCACTTCACTGGTCACTGTTTCTCACTAGAACTCCTGGATGTACTTCTCTATGTCAGTCACTAGTGAGCATATGGTTATATTAATTATCAGAAGGGGTTTTGTGGAGATTTAGTATTTTCATAGTTGAAAGCGTGAGTCAATAATGAGATGAAACGGCCGTCCAGTGCTTCCAGGTTTCCCATGGTGGTCTAGCTTCAATTGACTCACGCTTTCAACTATGAAAATACTAAATCTCCACAAAACCCCTTCAAGCTTCATTGTTCTTTCGTTTCCACATCAATCATTCTTTGTTCTTGTTCTCTTTTCTAAGATCTTCTGAACCGCCTGTCTCCGAGCATTTTACTTCCGATTGATGATACATACTACTTACACCTGTTAACATCACTAGCACACACCATAGTATGAAGGCAGATTAGTTAGATGGAAGTGAGAAATGACAAAATATCTCACTACACATATGTAACTTAAACAGGTTAATGTTGTATCTTGATTCGATACTCATTGATATTATTCCTAACATAAATTATAGTATTTCATCAAAAATATTAAAAAATGGACACGAATATCAGTGAAACCATCTCAGATAAAGATGGGCATATTATTCATTCTCAATCCAGGAGATTGGATCGATGGGCAGAACACTTTAGGGATCAGTTCAACTGGCCTTCAGCCACACTTCAATTACCCACGATCCCCAGTCGACCTGAATGGCGAATTGATGTAAGTCCTCCAACCCTCTGTGAGGTTGAAAAAGCTATAGGAAATCTGAAGCGAGGGAGAGCAGCAGGCCCTGACAGGTTGACCCCTAAGATTTTTAAGGATGATGGTCCAGTACTAGAAGTGAGATTGACTGAGATCTTAGGTAGAATCTGGGAACTGGACGTAATTCCATCTGACTGGTCCCAATCACTGATTGTGCCAGTCTATAAGAAAGGACAAAAGTCCTCCTGTGACAATCACAGAGGAATCAGTTAGACTAATATAGTGTCTAAAATATTAGCTTCAATAATACTAGGTCGCCTAACCAAAGCTCGTGAAGAGCAGACTAGAGAAAACCAGTCTGGTTTTCGACCTGGACGTGGTTGCATAGACCAGATATTCACCCTACGTCAGGTCCTAGAACACAGACATACATTCAGACGTCCCACAATAGTAGTATTTCTTGACCTTAAGGTGGCATTTGACTCCGTTGATCGTGAGGTTCTATGGCAATGTTTGTCACTGAAAGGAGTACCAAAGAAGTACATTAACCTCATAAAGGCTCTCTACTCGAACACAACTGGTCGTTTTAGAGCCTATGGCGAACTGTCATCAGAACTGATTAACACAAGTGGCGTTCGTCAGGGCTGTCCACTCTCCCCATTCTTGTTTAACTTTGTCATTGACATACTTTTAGAGATAGCACTTTCATCAGCTAAACCTCCAGGAGTTGAACTTTTACAAGGAGGCTCACTTGTTGATTTAGAATACGCCGACAACATAGTTTTACTCGGTGAAGACGCTGACAACATGCAGAGTCTTCTGACCACTATAAGCAACTATACAGGCATGTTCGGGATGCGATTCTCTCCCTCGAAGTGCAAAATGTTACTTCAGGATTGGGTTGCAGCGACACCTGAACTAATGATAGGGAGTGAAGTAGTTGAGCGTGTAGACCACTTCACTTATCTTGGGAGTCTCATCAGCCCTTGTGGTCTGGTATGTGACGAAATCTCAGCACGGATACAGAAGGCTCGTCTAGCTTTCGCCAACTTGCGTCATTTATGGCGTAGGCGAGATATCCGTCTAGCAACCAAAGGACGGGTTTACTGTGCAGCAGTTCGCTCCGTCCCAATTTATGGCAGTGAAACATGACCAATAAGGGTAGAGGATATTCGTAGGCTACTAGTGTTCGATCATAGGTGTATTCGAAGCATTGCTCGTATATCCTGGGACCACCGGGTAAGTAATGCAGTTGTTAGGAAACGAGTACTAGGTAGGGATGGCAAATCGATTGATGAAGTAGTGAAACTTCATCAGTTGAGATGGCTGGGACATGTGTTACATATGTCCGACCACCGACTGCCCCGACGTGCAATGTTTTATGGTGTAGGAGTAGGTTGGAATAAAGCTAGGGGTGGCCAGACCAAAACGTGGCACAAATCAATAAAGTCTTTGTCAAGTGGACTGGGCCATGTTAGTAGGTGTAGACTACCTGGTTGGGATTGGCGAGATGACAGCAACCTATGGTTAGAGACCTTGAATGACATTGCTCAAAATAGTTTGCGAAGGTGCATCCACTCTCTGGGTTCTGCCAAATTCTAATCTTCTGAATTCTTCGTGTCTCTATCTTTTTTCTCTTTTCAAATTTATTTCACTGTACTATACTCCTTCAATAATTTCTTCAAACCCTAATCTTTTGGATTCCTGATTATACTCCTACTACTTCTACCACTATGGGATTTGAATGGACAACTGCATCTCTGTGCTAATGTGGTATGGCAACTCAAACTGATGTACGTACGTACGAAGTTCTACGTTGTGACTGACTGACTGATTAAAAAATGGGGTTCAGGTATAAGTGGTGACAACAGTGAGATAGTTAAGTCAGAAACTGTACGAGACCAAAGATCAATATATTCACAATCTACGATTTCTCATTAAAGAATTAAAAATACACCATAAAACCTTCGATTATGATAAAAGTAGACATTCACTTACATCAAATAAAATGTACATTGTTGACCATCAGAAATCATTGAGGGATTAATGGAGTTGAAGTATTAGTGGTTGTTCTAGTTAATTTAGATGAAGAAAATGCAGATTTACAATTAAAATTATTTAATTTCTTAGTTGATTGTCCCAATTTTCGTGATTTGTTATTATCACTATTGTTATTATGATATTGAGAGGATAGTTGTGAACTTGGAGCTGGTAAACGTCGTACAGTTACTTTTTGATCATTCTTAATTTCGAAAGCGATTGAACTCTGTGTGTGTGTGAAAAAGTAGAATAATGATATGAAGTGAAATTATCAATGAGATTTAAAAAGAACAAAAAAATTCTGAGCTATTACAAACTAAAATAAAACAGATAAACACTATCGAGGAACAAACTACTACAAACCATGAGACACAGAGACTATGACTATAAAGAAAAGAACTAACAGAGACAATGAACGATTTCGGTTGAGTTTTGTTCTCAAAGCTGGATGGTTTAATCGTGAAGCTTTAATTATCTTTCTGATGTTTTACAGAAGGATAATGAAAACTTTATGAATAAAGAATCTAGGTAAAAGCATGAAACTCTACCAAAAAGAGCAAACTGGAACAGGTACGGATCTAGAATAATTCTGAAACTCAGGGTCTAAAGGAAGATAAAGAGTTAGTGCATCTAGACCATCGCAGACAATTTTGAGGTGTTATCTAGCGCCTTTAACCATTGATAACAATAAGATATAATCAATGACTTAGTGATTTGATACCACATGTTCGTCTGACGACTATTACAATCGAATGTAGTGAACTTTCTATCACTGGTCTCTGTTCGTTACCTCTACATTTCCTTTTGGAAGCAATACCAAATAATGTACGTTTTTTTCTTTCTTTATAGGATGTAAGATATAGCTGAATGATTTTTATATCACAGTATTACGTATGGATATTACATTGAGCAGAGATGTAAACATTACAATCCTACAATATACACATATTACTGGAAACTATCAGTTATATATAGGTAAATCAATTAGAAAACATTTCTGGCATTATTATGGACATTAAGTTTATATCAAATGTCAATATCCATCTAAGTAGTAGTGTTAATAGCAGTGGCAAATACGTGTTTTGAAATATTCTAAGTTTCTTCATTACATCGCATCACATGATACTGTTACTACTATTTGGAAATGAGTGAAAGGCATTGACAAAGGATTTGTTTGATTGAAGTATCCGAAATCTCTAAGAGTTATTTATTTTGGAAATAATATCAGTTAGGAACAGAAGTTGACCGTTTTTAGATTGATTATTCAGCAACTAGGAATTGCCAACTACATCTGACCACCTAACATCGACAAATTCTAGTTAACATGATAGTTGAATGTCATTAATAGTGTATAAATATATATGTACATGTGTGTGTGTGTGTGTGGTTGACGGGTCATTTACATGTTAGATTTCTTAAAATGTTTACAAAACAATGTCATGTATTACTTAATGATCTGTGGGCGAGAATGTCAATGATTGGTTGTCTCGATGAGTCAGACATTAGAGGGGATGACAGGTGTTATGTGTTATATATATTTCCCTATCCTTATTATGTATAGACTTCTTGACTGTTCCTTGTTGATGGACACTTATTGATTAACTGTTCTTTGTGTCGGATTTTCGTGTGGAAATATATTGACGTCATAGTCAGGCTAATCTGGTGTTCTTGATCTGAGTTCTGTTGAAGTCCTGTAGAATAGACACTGGGTGGGAATCTAGTGTAGATATTCGTCTAAGATAAATTAACGTCCCACATACGTGTAAGAAGTAAAAGGACTGTTATAACCAGAAACCCCAAAAGTTACAACCAGCATCCTCTCTCTCTCTCTACGTTTATAACAATTGGCGACGGCAAACATACGTTTATAACACTTAACCTCTCAACAAATGCATGAACATATAAATGTTGTTTATTCTTAACACTAAATGGAAAAGCTTAGCCTAAAGATGTTTCATTAAGTCTGTTTGTTACTTTTCATTTCTATTAATTGATAGAAAGTTGTCAACACTTGTTATAACTGATAGAATCAGTAAGTTTATTTAAATTTTAATGCATTAACCTGAATCAATAGGCTTTTAGTTTGTATTTAATAACTTGACAGATTGATGCCACATTTTTTTTAAAAAAGTACCGTTGAGATGGTCAATTAGTCAATAAAGGTAACATATCTTCTAATCACTTCAAATGAAATATGTTCAGTGAAGCTTTTGAGAAATCTATATTTTAAAGAAAAAGCGAAAACTATGCTGAGCTTTCACTACACACACTAATCATTTGATAGATCTTTTCAAAATAAGTCGGAGACCATACTATGTTGAAAGCACCGGTTCTTGTCCGATCAACGCAGTTAAGCAAAGGGGGGCCCGGTCAGTACTTGCATGGGTGACTGGCTGAGAACACCGGGTGTCGCCAGCTTTAAATCCTAGCAGCGACATTCCATTGAAGCCCCCCAAATGCCCTAGTACCGCCGAGAGTGGGGAAAGTCCGCTCTCCCTCTCGAAATGCTCTCACATGGCCACGCGTATACAGCCTCTGACAGGGAAGTCCTACTCACTGTCTTCTTGTGCCACAAGTGTTGTTTACGAAATCGAGAGCACAAAAAGCGAATGTCCGGCACTTCGACCGGGTTGGTGGACACGGAAAGTACACGTAGGGGAGTTGGAAAACCCTCATTCCAAACCAATGGTGCACATGGGCTCCAGTATCCTAAGGCAACAAATGGCGTGTGAATCTATCGTTGGTCACCGGCTACCATGAGACTGCATCTCCTTACGATGCTCCACTGGCTTAGGGATCAGATCTTTAGGTCAAAGGCTCCGGGTGTGGTCCCCTAAGAAAACCAGCTGCTTCATTTTGGGTACCTGGGCAGTATCACAGTCCTCACACAAATCGAATGAGATTTGTGCGGCGCATATATATCTGGTACCCCCTTGTACCAATATTTATGTGTATAAATAAATAAATAATAAATAATGAAATCGAATTCCTAAGTTCTGTTGAGGCATAAATAAATCTAAAGTATGAATTAGGATAAAATCACAAGAATGCTAACCTTACTACTTCGAATACTTGATGCACCGCTAAGATCATCAATACTTTGTACAGAACTGGTTGATGAAATACCATTAGTACGTGGAGTAGAATAGGTATCAACTTTTTTACTTCTATGACGATGAACATGAACAGGATCCAATGGTTTAACGAATAGATCTGCATCAGTGAATCGACGGCAGGCAATATTTGATAAAGGAGGATTCATATTTTCATTATCAGAGGATAAACCACCGCCAGTACCACTATCAGTTTTTAGTTCATACACATTATATTTTGCATGATTTTTGTTATATTTTGGAAATGTATCAGGGATACTATTACAGAATCCCTTATTTTGAATTCAAAAAAATCAAGACAAAACACATAAATCACAAAGAAAAGATAAAATAGTAAGTTTAAAATATTAAAAATATAATGAATTTTGTAAGGATGCAGAGGTTCGGCATCGTGTGTTCGGACGCAGAGACGATAATTTAATTAATGTCACCATCTTGAAACACCGACTTCGGTGGCTTGGACATAATCTACGAATGTCGTCCCAGAGAATTCCACGTCGTGCATTATTTGCCGACGCTGGGACTGGTTGGAAAAAGCGGAGAGGTGGTCAGTGTAGGACATGGTGTCGTGGTATGAAGGAAAGCTGCAAAGGGGTAGCTTATGTTGGTCCTTCACGACTCCCTGGATAAAGATGTTATCAGATATGGCTCAGAATAGAAGCCAGTGGCGAGTCTGTTGTAACCTTCTTTTACTTTCTTCATAAAAAGTGGTTATAACTTTCTTAACCGAGAGAGTCTTTTGGTTGTACATTTCAGTTCCCTCCATCATCACTCTTTTCTTTTTTTCATCCTAGTTTTTTTCTTTTATACATACGCATCTTCCCCCTTTCTCTTCCTATTCTGATTGTTTTGTGTGGCGCATATGTATCTGGTGCCCCTATTATATGTGTTTAAATAAATAAATAAATAAAAGGAGTTGACTAATTCACAAGTTGCTTTCATCATCAGGAATTGGCACCAATCACAGAACCATCTTCAACTAAATAAAGAATCAAGATTAGATTAGTTTACGAATCAGATACTAAACAGATAAATGTCTTTGGAACATCAATCACATACAGTGAAGTCGTCGAGTTAGTAATATTTAGATCAGGAGTAAATTACTAGGTAGAGAAAATGCAACCCGATTGATAAATTTACATGCTTTAATCATACTGAATAACTAGAAAACGTATTATGGATACTTAACCACCGCCTATGACAAATAGTAGTCCTGACGAACAGAGGAATAACAGAGACAAGACGTACGAACTGGTAGACCAAAACAGAACATTAATTCTATGATGTTAGTGAATACTATTTTCAGCCAGATTGACAGCATCAAAACCGTCATCATAAAAATTGTGTTAAACATAGATCAAGAATGATGATAGCCGATCACAAGTCATATTGAGATGTATGCTACTCCGGTTTGCAGACATAAGTATTGTGTAACACCAGTCGGAAGTGTAGCTATGATTGTGTACCAAACAATAAACTGGTTTTCTCTACTTGAATGTTCGTTTATTACAATAATATTTAAGGGTCTCCACTCAGGAAATTCGGATCACTCTACATGGATCAAACTAACATTCATTGACTTTATGAACTGATTCTATGTTGCGGCTTGACCACTTTAGTCTTTTTAACCCATTCTTATGGTAGACACTACTGGATATCGGGATAAGCGATGTCTGAGGATGTGTTAGATATATCTTAGTTGTAGGACTCAAAATGAGCATATCTTAAGTCATATAATAACTCAAAGATTTTATATCCCACAATCTAGTGACCTTTGAATATAATTGTTTAAGACGTTGGAATACTTTAGAAGTAGGGGATGTTCAGGTACCAAAAACGCATACAAAATCATATAGTGAAAGTAGATACTCACAGTTTTTCTATCCGACGTTGAGATATTTACATTCTGGATACTGGGAGACAAGGAGTGTGATGATTTACAGCCATTATTATTATCGTTATTAGTATTCACAGACTTGATAAGATTAGGATGTGTAGTTAATACATAATCCATAGCTTTATTATCCACAGATGCAGAGATAAGCGCTTCACTAAATGATTGTATATCTTTGGGGAGGGGTTGATAACCAGCGGCTAATGGTGAAGGCGTTGATTCCTGTTCAAAATTATTATCATGCATAGATTTGATATGCGAATTCTTTTGGTAATCATTTGATAATGAAGAGGGAACAGTTCTAGCAGTAGGATTGTTACTAACATTGCTTACAGGAGGTTCGTTATGATGAGAATTATTACGATGCATTTTTCGACCACTTGCTCTGATTCGATTAGGTGATTGATTTACATTGTCAGTAGTCATTTGGCTCAAAGTGCCAACTATATCATTTGAATTGATCACCTGTAATGAGAGGGAGGGAGGAAATCGGAATTCTATAATTGTGGATATGAAAAAATATACACAGACGAGTTGGTTGTAAAATAGTACGGAAAATCCTTAGTGTTCAACAAATATAATCAATCATGAAGGTAAGTGGCACGATATTGTGGGTTAGCTTATTTAATGTTGTGTTTCAAGCCGATCAGAGAGATATTTCAAATCTAGGTTTGACATGTAGTGGTAATTTCATTAGTAACACATATATACTCGAATACAAACTGAATTGAAACTGGGACATTGGATTTTCTGAATGGTGTACGTCAATCTGTACAGAAAATTAAAATACAATTATCTAATTTAAAAATGAAATTTAACCGCAGTGAATCAGTGCCACTATCATTAGTTGTTCTGATTGGTCATAATGACCATGACTGCCATAGACAATAACACATTTCCTGGTTTAGCTTAAAGTTGGTAGGAAAGCTAATTGGTGAATAATCGAGACATAATTCAGCTTGCCAAATGATTCAAATTTTTATATATTGGTGCCTTTTCTAACCAAATATCCAATTTATTTAACCGGGGGACAGTCCCAACAGTTCTAAATCATTTTAAATATGAGACTAGTACACATTGATCTAAGTCATACAGATCAGTCAAATCTCGGTTAGCTCAATAGTAACATTTCGGACTATGAAGATGAGTGACCTGAGTTCACATTAGACAGGGAATATCAGTTACATGAAAATTTCAGGTAAACCTTGATGATGAGGATCAAATAGCACAAAATCTAAGTTCAGGGGTACTCTGGAAACTACCGTTAACCACCTAACATCAAAACACAGTGCACGCGTTGCGAGTTACGCATGCTAATGGGTTTATTGAAGCTTGATTGATAGAATGTGAGACCTAGTTCGTTAGACAGTACCATATCAGTATGAGTAATCTGTCTTATGTATATACATATAGGTAAATTTTATGGCATGTTGATTAGATACAGAACATTTCAATTCAATACATTATAAAATTGGAAAACGTAATTTATATGAATTGCTCAGTAATTAGAAGTGTTTACATTTATAAAACTGCATGGGAACAGGATGTATTACTGACAGATGTAACTGTAATAAAACTATCTAAGATAGTCAGCAAAAGGAGGAACTTCGATCATTGATTCACATTGAGGCTGAAGCGAATCACTTCAAGCTAAGATGAGTCAGTTTCACCCGAGATTAAATCCTGCTTCATCAAATAAGAACTGTTAAGTGAACCTTACAAGATACATAAAAAGATAGTAGGAATAATAGTAGTATCGATAGCATTAAAAGTGTTAAATAATAATGATGTCTAAATGGTTTGAGTTGTGAAGACTTTAAGTTGAAACATTGGAGATGAAAAAGGTACATCATTTGTTGAAGAATTCAACTTTAACGTGATAGGTAATAATCCCTAACTTTAGTTTGGGTTATTCTGTCATGGGAAAAGTGTAAAACTTAAGGTAGAATAGCCCCAACCTTTATTTACTTTACGGTATTGCATAAAATCAACTCCACCTGCAACTCTTTTAGAGTTACTGCCGGTCCCAAGCCCGGGTAAAGGAGGAGGGTTGAGCATGGGGTTAGCGACCCCATCCTGTAGAAAAACAAACTCGCTAAAAGAATGCTAACCAGAAAAAATAATTTAGACCATTTAAACTCTGCCCTGGGAGTTGAAGGAATAAGCACATATGAAAAAGATGAATAACAACTAGAAAGAACTGGAAAAGATTGCCTAGGACAGAGTTGGGTGGAGAATGCTGGTGGGTGGCCTATGCTCCTCCATACGAGGTACAACAGGCGTAAGTTAAAAAGTTAAAAAAAAATTGCATAAAATCAAGAGGTTCCCAATGGTTCTTATTTTAATCTTCCAAGTAGAAATTGATATTTCTGAACCTGTAGTATTGCAATGATTGACAACAAAATTCAACTTTACCATCTACACTTCTACAACTTCAACAGTGAAGAACTAACGAGAAAAATTTAACCAACCTGAGTTTCAACTGGATAACTTGATCGTAAATGTGAAGGTTGTAATCGATTACGTAAGTGCAATTCTTTTAATCGATTAGGATCTAATTAAGAAGAGCAAAAATAAACAATATACAATTATTATTAATAACATATAAACTGGAATAAAACATACTGGATCATGCTTTTTAACTAAAGCATTAGACAAATATGATGAAAAATAACAAAGACAATAAGGAGATACACAGTTTAAATGAGAGAAAAGTTGATTGTCTGTAAGATGATGGGGAATATGAATATCAATGAATGTAGGTTTTACAAAAAGCTCAACGTTCCTGCTAAACAGACAGACAACATTACTAAACAAAGTTTAGTAAATATACATCGATGAAACATGAAGAATGAAGTTCAATCATGGATAAAATCATGCATCAAGCCATAGGATATACATGTTGCGTAAAGAGACTAAAGATATAATTATGTTACCGAAACTCCAAGAGGATGGTATTGGGTCAGAAAGTCTAGAACCGGAACCATTGAGCTGAAACGCTAAAATAACAATAGAATCGAGAGTATTACAAACTAAATCTAACAAAAACAATGGTTAAATTCCACGCGACTACCACAATCCCCACTAAAATGTATCTTACGTGCTCTGGAGCGAGACTGATAGGTCCTGGGTTCGAATCTCGCGAGGCGGGGTCGTGGAAGCGCACTGCCACTGAGAAGTCCCACAATAGGACAAAACGCCATCCAGTGCTCCCAGGTTTTCCTTGGTGTTCTAGCTTCAATTGACTCACGCTTTCAACTATGGAAAATACTAAATCTCCACAAAACCCCTTCTAATTAATTTAGTCAAGTTAACGAATGTTAAATAAAATCCCTGTAATAGATTAAATCAACATGTTATCAGCATTGTACTTTATTTGACAGTGGAACAGTGAATAGATGCTTTATTCTGAATAAGGAACATTTTCCCTACAGTTAACAGTCAGTTACAACATAGCACCAGGCACATTTATACATCGGTCCAAGTTGCCATACCTCGTTAGCACAACAAGATCAACACCGGATCCATAGTAGTAGTGGTGGTAGTATATAAAAGATAGGTTGCATATAAGGATATAGTATAGGAAGAAAGAAAATTATTAAGCAATTATAATCTCAAGATTTAAGGGAAGATAAAGAGTGTATACACCTACGCCATTGTGATCGATTCTGAGCTATGTCACTTAGAGTCTCCAACCATTGGTTACGATAGTCGCGCGGACCCCAACCAAGTAGTCTGCATCTGCCAACAGTTAATAATGAAGCTAACCTACGCAAGATTTGAGGGAATCATACCATATTTTTTTACTTCAAACACATGAATAAATTATTGTTATTAGAATCTGTTGGTGATACTTAATCTGTAGTAGTTACATAAAATGATGAACTCATCAGATGCACAGAAGCTACATTTACACATTCCTGGCTCTTAGCAGTTATTTATCTAAAGTGAGTACATGTCAACCACAAAGTAAGCAAATTCAACGAACCTTCTATATACCATACATTCTAATATTGCTAGGTAACTGGATATTCACAATGACTACCGTACAAATGATTCATGTGTGCAATATTATTTGTACAACTAAAAGTAAGTGATGTAGTGTTGTGTTTGGCCTAATTAAAATACCCTTTCTGTAAAAATGTAAAATATGATTCTGATGATATCCATCAAATTAGACAGAAATGTGTTACATTTAATACCATTCCATTCCATTCAATTCAATAGATAGATAGATAGATACATACATACATACATACATACATACACCTATAGAAACAAAAAAGGATCATTTCTTGTTGTTCATCATATCCAATCTTACACGGGTAAGAAATGACAAATCAATCAATGATGAGAATGACAGTGATAGTGAATGTTCAAAAATTAGAAATAATTAGTTAAATAGATGACAAGTTTTGATTTTTTTTAAAATGTGACGATCATTAAATTTGTGCAGTACAATGTATTAGATTGTTTGTTTATATGTGTGTATCGTATATGAATCGATTATATCATTAAAGTAATAAAGTTTAATAATTAGATACGATTAATTCAATTCGACTCTAATTAGAAACTAACCAGTTGCAGTACTAAACATCAATGGGAAGATTCAAATAAACAATACTAAGTGAATTTAAAACTTTACTCCATTGCACAATCAAGTAGCTGAGTGGATAACGCGATGGCGTTTGAAGTGAAAGGTATTGGTGTTCGAGTCCCACAGTGGACATCAACTCTGAGATGCAGGTACATCCAGCTGACGAGTCCCAAATAGGATGAAACGCGCGTCGAACTGGATTCCACTGCCAGCCACTATCCATCTATGCTTACAATACTTATTAAGGAATTTAGTGTATAAACGCAGATTTTTAATGGAGTTATTAATCTATGCTATCATCTCATAAATCATAGTTGTTACGATTATAACACTATACAGAAAATAAATTTAGTGTTCTATATTTTCTAACAGCTAATTTGGCTTATAATTATGAAGCTTCAATGAGCGAATGTCCGGTGCTTAAACCGGGTTGGTGGATGTGGGGGATCCACCTCGGGGAGTTGGAAAACCTTGATTCAAAATCAATAGTGCACATGGGCTCCAGGATCTTGAAACAACAAATGGCATATGAATTGATCGTTGGTCATCGGCTGCCATGGGACTGCATCTCCTTACGATGCTCTATTGCCTTGTGGATCAGACCTTTAGGTCAAAGGCTCAGAGTGTGGTCTCCTAAGTAAACCACCTGCTTCAGTCTGGGCACCTGGGCAGTATCACGGCACTCGCACAAATCAAATGAGATTTGTGTAGCGCATATGTATCTGGTGCTCCTTTGTACCGATATTTATGTGTTTAAATAAATAATGTATCTATTAGGAGAAGTGCATTACTACATAAATACAGCATGTAGTAATTTAGTGATGAAGACATTGGTTTTCAACCATCGGGATTACACGCTAAAACGGATGTTTACTTATTTAGACTATATTAATAGCTCTCACTATAAAAACTGTGGCTCAAAATCCATCAGGGTGATTATTATCATCTCATATACTTGAAGAGTATAGAATTAGAACAGACAACTGAACTCAATAAGACGAGAATGTGACATGAATTACTAAAAGTCATAAACTGTGAATACAAGAGAATTTCTCAAGTGGTTACTTGGATATAGTCGAGATTTCTTACCAAACGTTTCATTTACTTTTTTGTGGCTTTTTTGGATACCCTAAACTTTTATCAGTTGGTGTATGTATTCACGCCTTGAATTAGATTACTAAAGGTTGGATACATCTGGAATGATAAAAAGCTATTACCCAAAAGACATTAGTGCGCTCATCATAAAGTGTTGAACCCAGAAATTCAACGAGATATTCAACTTCTCACCGGGAGGTCAAGGCTATCGAAATAAGAATATTACGAAGATGATCCCCTAACCCAGTGAATTCCATCAACTAAGTATCATAGTAAGATTATTTATCTTAAAAGTCAGAGTAATGAAAAAGCAAACTCAGATAGAACTGAACGACAAAATGACACAATTGATAGTATGCAATCACTGTAAAAAAGAAACTGAAATCCAATGAAAGGAAATGAACAAAATATAAACAAGATACAATAATAATAATAATAATAATAATAATAAATACCAGAAGATAAAGGGGAACTACTCCTTAAATTCTTCGAGATTGATGGCATAAACCCAACAGATTGTGAGTGATGTTGAAGCATCGATTGACCATTATGTGATGTGTTAGTTTGCAAATTATTTGTTGTTAGCTTAGTATTCTGGCATCCTGTGGGGAAAAAAATGAAACCAATTAAAAGCAAAGATATACTATATTGTGCTCAGTAGTAACACATTGGTTAAAATATTAGAAATCATCAAAGAATGAATAATTCAGTAGAAAAAACAAACAAGCATTCGTGGTCCAAGAAAAGTCTATTCGAATATATATACACTAACATGACGTTTTTTTTAACTGATCCACCAAGTACATGCTCATGAACTCAGCTGTTGGTATGAGAGTTAATGATACAAACTATATAGATGTCCGAACCAAAGTGGGTTACAAACTCGAAACATGTAGGTTAATAGTGTTGATAATAGAAAGACTGGAATATTAAACATTCAGTTTGAACATCATGTATCATCCAATTTGATTTGGGTTGTCTCTTAGTGTAATATAATTAATTATAGGGCACTAAATACAGATTAATGTACTTCGATTCGAACCATACTGAACGTGAGGGTTAATGTTAATAATAATCAGCTACTCAGCCTAAATTAGGAGGAAGGAAGTTCGTATCTGAAACCATTAACCAAACCACATTGGCTACGCTATCAGATCATAACGGTTTGTTTCATGTTGGTAATGTCATCCGTTTCGATATGAAAAGTGCTCACGAGAAATGAAAAAACAATGAATTATTACTGCAATACACTAAACTAAACAATTCAATATTGAAATCATAAATTAGATAAACAGCCCTTACTATACAAAACATCATAATGAAATAAAGGGAGATATGATTTCTTCTATGAGACTACAAACCAACTGCAAGGAAAAAAAATATAAAACACATGCACATATAAACTGATCAATACAGATTGATAGCTGCATAAAGCGTACTAAGTTTCTTTCGAATGAAAATTTTTTACGAAAACTGTATTCATCATCACCAACAATTATTTCGCAAGTATGTCTATATAAACTCTTATGTTGTTTGATATGATATGATAGCCCCCAAATGCTCTGGTACGGTCGAGAGTGGGGAGAGTACGCTCTCCCTCTCCAAATGCTCTCTCACATGGTCACGCGTATATATCCTCTGCCACAGAAGTCATACTCACTGCCTTCCAGTAGCATTACTCTTGTTTACGAAATTGAGATGACGAAAAGCGAATGTCCGGCGCTTTAACCGGGTTGGTGGATGTGGGGGATCCACCTAGGGGAGTTGGAAAACCCTGAATCAAAATCAATAGTGCACATGGGCTCCAGGATCTTGAAACAACAAATGGCATATGAATTGATCGTTGGTCATCGGCTGCCATAGGACTGCATCTCCTTACGATGCTCCATTGCCTTGTGGATCAGATCTTTAGGTCAAAGGCTCAGAGTGTGGTCTCCTAAGTAAACCACTTGCTTCAGTTTGGGCACCTGGGCAGTATCACGGCACTCACACAAATCAAATGAGATTTGTGTGGAGCATATTTATCTGGTGCTTCCTTGTACCGATATTTATGTGTTCAAATAAATGATAAAAATGATATGATCACTTAGTTAGTAGTCAATGTGAACAAACTGCTTGTTATGTTAAACAAACGAACAATGAGAAATGGAATTTTGTTAAATAGTATCTATATATTAACGAAATAAACAGTGTGAAAAATGTATGCATTCACATAATTGCCTTAAGCATAATGTCAACATTAAAACAGTGTAAATTGTTATTATTACTGTTGTTATAGTTACACAGATACACAAAAATACATACACACACACCAAGTTGACTATAGACAGTCAATACGTCAACAACTCTTGAAATAATCGTAATAATGACCATGAATCGTCAAAACGTTGGCAGTGTAAACAATGATAATATATACACAAATAGTTATATGATACGAAAAGCCTAGATGTGTATGACTTGATGACCTGAATACTCAATACTATTGATTAGCTGATGAGGGTTAAAAAAAATTCCATTTGAGTATTTGTTATTAACAAAACCTGAATCGGATTAATAGTTAATAACCACAAAAGCCTAAAGAAAAGGAGAACCAGAACAATTATTGTCTTACGAGGCATGAATATAACGACTGAGAACTAAACTCAATCAGCAAGTTTGAACTTCATTTTTGTTTGAAGATTGAATTATAAAAAATAGATAAGAGGGGGTTTTGTGGAGAATTTAGTATTTTCACAGTTGAAATCATGAGTCGATTGAAGCAAGACCACCATGAAAAACCTGAAAGCACTGGACGGCCGTTTCGTCCTATTATGAGACTCCTCAGCAGTGCGCATCCACGATCCCGCTTTCCGAGATTCGAACACAGGACCTACCAGTCTATTCATCATATGCAAAACTGTCAGTCAAAGACTCAGTCAGCTACAACGTAGGACCAGGTTAATTTATGCATAGGTCCAAGTTGTCATACCTTGTTAGCACAACAAGAGGAACACCGGATTCATAGAAGTAGTTAATTTAGTGGCGGTAGTATATAAAAGATAAGTTGCATATAAGGAAGAAAGTTATGAAGCAATTGTAATCTTAAGGTTTAAGGGAAGATAAACAGTGTATACACCTACGCCATTGTGAACGATTCTGAGCCATGTCACACAGAGTCTCCAACCATTGGTTACGACAGTCACGCAGACCCCAACCAGGTAGTCTGCATCTGCCAACATGGCTCAGACTAGAAGCTAGTGACTTCAAGCACTGATGCCACGTCTTGGTTTCGCCGCCACTAACTCTCTTCCAACCATCCTCTACACTAGTCAGCATAGAGCGTCGTGGTAATCGGTGTTCAGGCATACGTAACACGTGGCCTAACCATCTCAGTCGATGAAGATTCATCACCTCATCAACTGATTTACCATCATTCCCTAACACCCTGCGTCTAACCTCACTATTATTTACCCGGTGATCCCAGCAGATGTGAGCAGTATTTCTAAGCCATCTGTGATCAAATATTAGTAACTTACATGTATCTTCTACTCTTAATGGCCATGTTTCACAGCCGTAAAGTAGGACAGAGCGAACTGCTGCGCAGTATACTCGTCCCTTAATTGATAGACGGATATCTCGTCTACGCCATAGGTGACGTAAGTTGGCAAAAGCCAAACGAGCTTTTTGAATCCGTGCTGAGATTTCGTCAGACACCAACCCATTAGGACTGATCAGACTTCCAAGATAAGTGAAGTTGTCGACGCGTTCGACTACTTCACTCCCTATCCTTAGTTCAGGTGTTGACGCAGGCCAGTCCTGGAGTAACAATTTACATTTGGATGGGGAGAAACGCATCCCAAACATCCTGGCATTATTACTGAGTTCCAACAGAAGACTCTGCATTTTGCCAGCGTCTTCACCAAACAGGACTATGTCATCTGCGTATTCTAAGTCGCTTAGTGGTCCCCCTGGTAGGAGATCAATTCCTAAAAATTCAGTCGAAGAGAGTGTTATTTTCAGCAACAGGTCTATAATGAAGTTAAACAAAAATGGGGATAGTGGACAGCCTTGACGGACACCAATTAAGGTTGTAAAATCAGATGACAGTTCGCCATAAGCTCTCACTCGACTGGTAGTGTTCGAGTAAAGAGCCTTCACAAGGTTTATGCACTTCTCAGGTACACCTTTCAATGACAGACACTGCCACAGAACCTCTCGCTCTACAGAGTCAAATGCTGCTTTCAAGTCAAGAAAAACTATCATTGTCGGACGCCGATAAGCGTGTCTGTGCTCTAAAACTTGACGAATGGTGAATATGTGGTAGATACAGCCACGACCAGGTCTGAAGCCAGCCTGATTTTCTCGTGTTTGCAGTTCACGAGTTTTAGTTAGGCGCCCGATAATTATTGAGGCTAGTATTTTAGATACTATGTTAGTCAGACTAATCCCTCTATGGTTATCACAGGATGATTTTGACCCCTTTTTACATATTGGGACAATCAGAGATTGTGACCAGTCGGATGGGATTACGTAAAACTCCCAGATTTTAGTCAGAATATTAGTCAACCTAATCGCTAAAGTTGGACCACCATATTTAAAGACCTCTGGAGCCAATCCATCTGGACCAGCTGATCTTCCTCGTTTCAGATTACCTATAGCCTTTTGAACTTCAAGTAGGGTCGGGGGGCCTACTTCAATGTTCCATTCAGGTTTTCTGGGAATAGTGTGTAGTTGTGCAGTAACTGAAGGCTAGCTAAACTGCTCCTTAATGTTCCGCCCATCGTTCTAAACGTTTGGGTTGAGAGCAGATAAGGGTTCCGTCTTTTTCCGAGATTGTCTCACTTACACTTGACTTCTTAATTCCGGTTTCTTTTATTAGTCTGAATAGTTGCCTGGTGTTGCCTACAGCCGCTGCCTCTTCCATCTCTTTTGCTTTCGTTGCCCACCACAGCTCACGATCGTTCCTTAGACTTTTAGTTAACCTAGATTTAATTTGTTTACGTCCTTCGTCGTGTTCAGAGCCTGATGGCATGAGTTTGCGCGAATCCATCAGTGAAATAGACTTAGAAGAAATCCAGTGTGAAATCAACGAATCTATCAAATATTTTATTAAACAAGAAAGCTATAATAAACATCTCAGCAAAAACCAAACAATGAAATCGCATACATAAATTTCAAACTTATCACGACAGTATACTAGAATTGCCCCCAAATGCCCTGGTACGGTCGAGAGTGGGGAGAGTCTGCTCTCCCTCTCCAAATGCTCTCATATGGCCAGCAAATATATAGCCTCTGCCACAGAAGTCATACTCACTGCCTTCCAGTAGCATTACTCTTGTTTACGAAATTGAGATGACGAAAAGCGAATGTCCGGCGCTTTAACCGGGTTGGTGGATGTGGGGGATCCACCTAGGGTGGTTGGAAAACCCTGAATCAAAATCAATAGTGCACATGGGCTCCAGGATCTTGAAACAACAAATGGCATATGAATTGATCGTTGGTCACCGGCTGCCATGGGACTGCATCTCCTCACGATGCTCTATTGCCTTGTGGATCAGATCTTTAGGTCAAAGGCTCAGAGTGTGGCCCCCTAAGTAAACCACTTGCTTCAGTTTGGGCACCTGGGCAGTATCACATCCCTCACACAAATCAAATGAGATTTGTGTGGCGCATATTTATCTGGTGCTTCCTTGTACCAATATTTATGTGTTTAAATAAATAAGTATACTAGAATTAATTGTTTTGAATAGCCGTACAGGGTGTAATAAATAAAACATATCACAAGGGATAGGCTTAAAAAACAATCTGAATATTAAAACTAACCTGAATCAACAGGTTGAGATACCGTAGAAACTTGACTTAAATCTGTGTAAGCTGAAGAATCAGCATCAGTATCTTGCTCCCTTTGTTCATTATCATCACCATGTTCATCAACAAGCTCGTAATTAAAATCATGTAACTGATATTGATTCTTTGGTATCATTAAAGGAGTATTTTTCAAAGCATGTTGATTATTATGAACATCCATCAAATCGGGATACACGCCTACAGATGAAGGATTAACTTGTGTAGAGGATTGATGCTAGTAAAAGATGACCGATGAAAGAAATGTAAGAAAAATGAGTAGATCTTAGTGAATAAATTTACTGAACTTCATTTTCATTTGATGTGATATTATACAGAAGAACTGTGAGAAATCACTCAACTTATCGAATTTAAATTAGAAGTAGACGAAGGTGAACCGATAGTTCAGTTGCTAAAGCGGTCGACTTTTAGTCACTAAGTTACAGGTTTGCATCCTGAAACAGCTAAGTCGGTTTGGACAACCAAATATCATTCGACCTTAACATTTAGTGTGGCTCGCAGCCGATTACACAACCCAGTAAGCGATGGGCTATATACGTATATACAAAATAATGAATGATGGTAGTTAAAAATACGAGAGACGGGGCTTTGATGTATGTGAATGAACACATAACTTGAACAAACCTTTCTGATAACAATGAGAAACATAGGAATTGAAATAATAGATCCAAGGATTACATGACTCACAGACAGGGTATACTTTGTTCACCTTACTCAATAAAATTTAAACACAACGATGTCTAGTATATAAAAGTCATGCATCTTAAATATGAAAAAAGATGTCAATATTAGCATTCAATTCTAGGGTGGGAAGCTATCTTTATATTTTCGGTAAAATAGGAAGTATGATATAAACTAAAAACTGAAAAGCCTACGCTAATTATACGTTTATCACATGCATATATGTATACATGTACAGAAGATTAAGGGAATCACAGTTCTTGAACGTACTTCAGAATTCTCTTCTTCCTCTGATAAGATCTGTACAAGATCAAATTAAACAAGTTCATAAAAGAAATGAAAAGAATTTTCTACAATATTAAACGATATCGACAAAACGAACACAGAAACTGATTGCATGTGTACAGTAGACAAAGACTCATGAAAAGAGAATGGACAAAGTTGAAGAAATTAGGAAATTTGGTGATCTCTGTTAATCAGTACTCTTTCATACATGTCAAATATATCACTCACAAATGAAACTAATTGAAAAGAGATAACAAGGTGAGAGATTCATTTAGTCATTCAGAAGTGTAGAACCTGACACATATATATGTTGGTTTAAGCAGCCACACCATATCAGCACAACAAGATAAAAGTTATCAAGACAAATGTCAGAGCAATAGAAAGAACAGTATCAGTGCTTTTAGAAAAGATTGGGCTTAGACAGAGATTCAGGAAGAATGAATTTGGTGGAATAAACAGTATCAGGTAATTTTGAAAACTAATATCTAGAAGAAGGTCAATCGTTAATGCATTTGAATCAAGGTAGTCAGTCAGTCACAACGTAGAACTTCGTATGTACGTACATCAGTTCGAGTTGCCATACCATATTAGCACAGAGATGCAGTTGTCGATTCAAATCACATAGTGGTAGAAGTAGTAAGAGTATAAGCAGCAATCGAAAAGAGATTATGGTTTGAAGATGTTATTCAAAAAGAATAATCCAGTGAAATAAATTTGGAAAGAGAAAAAAGATAGTTGAATTAAGGTAACTGATTATGAGTTGTATCACATAAAGTTTCTAATCGCTAATCACAGTTATTGTGATCGAATATTAGAATATGAAAATTTTAACGTAGCTAGAACTTAAAATACTATGTTTTACCTGATTAAATTGTTCACGCAATCGAATAGCAAACTCTTCCAATTCTTGTGTTCTAGAAGCCAATCGATCTAACTGTTTTGAATCTGTACGTAATTTTGAATGACGTTTTTTACACTTTACATATCTTGACTCTTCAGTATGAGGATGATTATATTCTGGTTTACGGGACTCATCGTTTATGCGATCATTTACAATGCACGAATAATCACGATGATAGTGATGATTTAATTTATTCTTAACTTCATGCGGATATACTGATGATCGAATTTGATGTGATGGTGAAAAATTGACATCAACATGATCATGATCGCTATCTTCCCAATCTTCAAGTGAATCGCTAAGGCATCTTTGACTGACTTTATAACCCTTTGAATACAAGCCATTACTATTATAAATACCATTATTATTATTACCATTAGGCATTGAAGAGGGTAAATGTAGATTTGATAAGATAATCGGTGCACTTTTTCTAATATGATTTGAATATTCAACTGATTTAGATTCAGAATTTTGTTTCAATGAGTCAACCAAAATTCTAGTCGTTTCTAGTTCACGTTGTAAGTCAGAATTACGTTCAGCTACACGAGCACGTTCTGCTTCTAGACGACGACATTCAAATGTTGTCTCAAGTAGTTGTTGCTAGAGAAGGGAAGCGAAAAAATAGAATTCCAGGAAAAATTTACGTCGAAACGATAAAACTTCTTTTTTATTATAGTGAAAAATGATAAGAAGTGGTTGAATTATAGTTCAATATTTAGAGTTATTGATTAGTGAAATATGAACTTTCGGCGAGACTATAATTTATGGACGAGCCAATCAGAAGCGTTTGAGGGATTCCAAGGTCATGGCGCCAATTTCAGTACGTGACGCTCATGTACGAGCGGTTCACGGAGGATTTTAGAGAAGGCTTGACAATTAAGCGGCTACAACAAATGAGACTAATAAGAAGTTCCTATATTTGTGATTGTGGCAATTAAATGACCTGTAGACCTTGTGCAGACTACCTTGATATTGTCCTTCGATGTAATATATGTTGAAGGAAGACGTTTGCTAGAATAAGAATCTTTATCTCTCGATCCAGATTGAGATAAAAACATATTATAATAATTGCCACAAACTGTATAATAAAAACACCAGTAACATTGGTTACAATGATCGCAGATGTTACTGAAGCTTCGGCTGTTCAGTGGTATGAGTATTGTAGGGACATATCCATAATGAAAATGATAAACTTACACAACCGGAGTACACACAAACAATAATGAAGCTACGTGGTCGAGGCTGAAAGGTTTTTTTTTACCTTATTATGGTTCCAGAGACCAACTATTATGGAGCCATATGAATGAGTTCTTCTACCTTATGCATTACGATTTTGGAACCTTTGAACTTTTTTCTAACCTTGCTAAGTTTTTAGACCATATAAAAGAAGTTGTATCCACTTTAATTATTTGGTTTTGTATGATATGTTTTAACTCTATACTGACTGTATACTGATTGGCTAACATTTCTTAAGGTCACTTAAGACTGGTTTAAAGGTCGTCCATAAATTATAGTCTCGCCAACTTTCTACTCTACATATTTATCCATTCTGCTGAGTGGTTAGGAGAACGTTATTCGAGAATCCACTATATTATTGAACCAATTAGCACATATTATTTTGTCACTATACTGTAATTACAGAAAGCTTAGAAATGTACATAGAATATTGTTTCAATATATTAATTCTTTACAATCACAGATTAGGCTTTACATTCTGATGTTTCATAGTTCAGTGAGAAAAAAGATTTCGCCGGTTGTACTCGCATCGTTTGCTGATTCGTGTATTATTAATATACACTATTTCCAACAATCGTACTGAAGTTCGCTGAATTTTGTTGTCCCTAAATGCTCCGGCACGGCTGAGGATGAGAAGAGTTTTCTATCCTTCTTCAGATGCTCTCTCAAATGACCACGAGTACATATTCACTACCAGGGAACCCTTGATTACTGTGTTGTTGCAGGATTGTTGTCTACAAAATTAAGGAGACGAAAAGCGAATGATCAGAGCTTATGACGTGTTTATAGGTACAGAAGATGCACCTACAGGAGCTAGAAAACCCTGAGTCTATATAAACGGTGCACATGGACTCCAGGATCCTGAGGGGACAAATGGCGTATGAACTTGTTGTTAGTCACCGACTACCATATGACTGCATCTTCTAACGCTGTGTTCATTCCCATTTTGATAAGGTCTATGGGTCAACTTCTAGGAGAGTAATCCCTTAACAAAACCAAATATTTTAATTTTGGCACCTGAACAATATCCCAACCCACGCACAAATTTATTATAACTACAGTCAGTCAGTCAGTCAGCTACAACGTAGGACCAGGCACATATATGCATCGGTCCAAGTTGCCATACCTCTTTAGCACAACAAGATGAACACCGGATTCATAGAAGCAATTAATTTAGTGATGGTAGTATATAAAGAAAGATTGTATATTAAGATATAGTATAGGAAGGAAAAAAGTTATGAAGCAATCTTAATCTCAAGGTTTAAGGGAAGATAAAGAGTGTATACACCTACGCCATTGTGATCGATTCTGAGCCATGTCACCTAGAGTCTCCAACCATTTATTACGATAGTCACGCGGACCCCAACCAGGTAGTCTGCATCTGCCAACATGGCTCAGGCTAGAAGTTAGTGACTTCAAACACTGATGCCATGTTTTGGTTTGGCCGCCCCTAACTCTCTTCCAACCGTCCCCAATACTAGTCATCATAGCGCGTCGTGGTAATCGGTGTTCAGGCATACGTAACACATGGCCCAACCATCTCAGTCGATGAAGATTTATCACCTCATCAACTGATTTACCATCGTTACCTAATACCCTGCGTCTAACCTCACTATTACTTACTCGGTGATCCCAGCAGATGCGAGCAATATTTCTAAGGCATCTGTGGTCAAATACTAGTAACCTACGAGTATCTTCTACTCTTAATGGCCATGTTTCGCAGCCGTAAAGTAGAACAGAGCGAACTGCTGCGCAGTATACTCGTCCTTTAATTGATAGACGGATATCTCGTCTTCGCTGTAGGTGACGTATGTTGGCAAAAGCCAAACGAGCTTTTCGAATCCGTGCTGAGATTTCGTCTGACACCAACCCATTAGGGCTGATCAGACTTTCAAGATAAGTGAAGTTGTCGACGCGTTCAACTACTTCACTCCCTATCCTTAGTTCAGGTGTTGACGCAGACCAGTCCTGGAGCAACAATTTACATTTGGATGTGGAGAAACGCATCCCAAACATCCTGGCATTATTACTCAGTTCTAACAGAAGACTGCATTTTACCAGCGTCTTCACCAAACAGGACTATGTCATCTGCGTATTCTAAGTCAATAAGTGAACCTCGTAGTAGAAGATCAATTTCTGAAAATTCAGTCGGCGAGAGTGTCATTTCCAGCAACAGGTCTATAATGAAGTTAAACAAAAATGGGGATAGTGGACAGCCTTGACGGACACCACTTGAGGTTGTAAAATCATATGACAGTTCACCATAAGCTTTCACTCGACTGATAGTGTTCGAGTAAAGAGCCTTCACAAGGTTTATGCACTTCTCAGGTACACCTTTCAATGACAGACACTGCCACAGAACCTCTCGGTCTACAGAGTCAAATGCTGCTTTCAAGTCAAGAAAAACTATCATTGTCGGACGCCGATAAGCATGTCTGTGCTCTAAAACTTGACGAATGGTGAATATGTGGTCGATACAGCCACGACCAGGTCTGAAGCCAGCCTGATTTTCTCGTGTTTGCAGTTCACGAGTTTTAGTTAGGCGCCTGATAATTATTGAGGCTAGTATTTTAGATACTATGTTAGTCAGACTAATCCCTCTATGGTTATCACAGGATGATTTTGACCCCTTTTTATATATTGGGACAATCAGTGATTGTGACCAGTCGGATGGGATTACATCCGTCTCCCAGATTTTAGTCAGAATATTAGTCAACCTAATCGCTAAAATTGGACCACCATATTTAAAGACCTCTGGAGCCAATCCATCAGGACCAGCTGATCTTCCTCGTTTCAGATTACCTATAGCCTTTTGAACTTCAAGTAGGGTCGGGGGGCCTACTTCAATGTTCCATTCAGGTTTTCTAGGAATAGTGGGTAGTTGTGCAGTAGCTGAAGGCCAGCTAAACTGCTCCTTAAAGTGTTCCGCCCATCGTTCTAAACGTTTGGGTAGAGAGCAGATAAGGGTTCCATCTTTTTCCGAGATCGTCTCACTTACACTTGACTTCTTAATTCCAGTTTCTTTTATTAGTCTGAATAGTTGCCTGGTGTTGCCTACAGCCGCTGCCTTTTCCATCTCTTTTGCTTTCGTTGCCCACCACTGCTCACGATCGTTCCTTAGACTTTTAGTTAACCTAGATCTAATTATAACTACTTTGTGTGGCACAAATGCTTAAGTCAAAGAACCAAATTTCAAAAATAAAATAATACTCAAACTTGTATCTAGACAAATCAATCAGTTTTTAATTATTAAGTTACATGTTTCAACTCTATTTAGCTTTATTCAATTCGAAAAGATGGACAGTATCATTAGCAATCACAAAAAGCATATGGTTGAAAGTTCATTATATAGATGTGTATTGGCACACGTTTAACATTTTTTTTCCGTCAGTTATTAAAATCACAACAATTAAGGACAAATATAAATGTCGAATTTTACATTCTCTAACAGAAGAATACACAGCGGAGAATTTTTACGAAAAAAACAATTCGTGGTAACAGTCAAAACGAACAACAACAAAAAAAAGGTAAAGAACGTATCTATATATACATATTTGTGATTGATTTTTAAACCATACTATATATCAATTCAATCACTTTATACTATCACACAAAAAGTAACCATAACGATATCAAATATAAATAATGTATATATATATACATATCATAATTATCAGATTCATTGTATCATGATTTATAAAATATATGTAAATAGTATTTAATAAACATTAAAATGATCAGGTTATTTTAATTAACAAGTTTATATAGTGGTAACAGAAATGCCATAATACAAAACTCCTCTAATGAATGTTACACAAAACATCTATATGTCATGGGAACGATTATTTTTATCAATAAAATTATCATATAAATACATCAAATAATGATAGGTGTCACAATATATATATCACGTACTGATGCTATATCATTTAGTGTCGAGTTTAATTAAACACAGTCATATACAAAATTGGAGTTCACATTATGTGAAAAACAAAATTTTCATAGTTGAAATCATGTGTCAATTAAAGCTAGACCACCATGAAAAACGTGGAAGCACTGGATGGCCGTTTCATCCTATTATGTTACTCCTCAGTGGTAGTGCGCATCCACGATCCCGCACTCGCGAGATTCCAACACAGGATCTACCAGTCTCGCGCCAGAGCACTTAACCGATAGACCACTGAGCCGGTCGGCATCCAACGGTGTTAATGTCTAACTTCAACCAATCCACGATGTTTGAGCAACTGTTCACCAATTGTCTTCACTGAGTTGATAACTCAACAGAAGTGGTTGAACTCCACTGGTCACTGCTTCCCACTAGAACTCCAGAAAATATCTCTTGAAGTCAGTCACTAGTGAGCATACGATTATAGATCAGAAGAGGTTTTTGTGAAGATGTCAGTATTTTCATAGTTGAAGTTAGACATTAACACTGTTGGATGCCGGCCAGCTCAGTGGTCTATCGGTTAAGTGTTCTGGTGCGAGACTGGTAGGACCTGGGTACGAATCTCGCTAAGTGGGAACGTGGATGCGCACTACCACTGAGGAGTACCATAATAGGACGAAACGGCCGTCCAGTGCTTCCAGGTTTCTCATGGTGTTCTACCTTCAATTGACTCATGATTTCAACTATGAAAAAAGGAAATTTATAATAAATCTATCTAAATTTAGTTTTACCGTTTATTAAAACAGAAATGACAATTACACTGGTTCAATATCGCAAATTAATTGAAGTTAAACCATCAAATTCAGGGATTAGATAGTTTAGAAATTCATCATGATCGTTGAAACGCTGAGGTTCAGTTATATAAAACATTATAAGCGTATACTTACATTTACAGTGATTTGTTTACCAGTTAATCAATTTTATTTATTTATTTAAACACACAAATATTGGTAAAAGGAAGCAACAGATAAATATGCGCCACACAAATCTCATTCGATTTGTGTGAGGGCTGTGATACTGCTTGGGTGCCAGACCGAAGCAGGTGGTTTTCTTAGGGGACCACACCCGGAGCCTTCAACCTAAATGTCTGATCCACAAGGCAGTGGAACATCGTGAGGAGATGCAGTCCCATGGTAGCCAGTGACCAACGATTGATTCATACGCCATTTGTTTCCTCAGGATACTGTAGCCCATGTGCACCATTGGTTTGGAATCATGGTTTTCCAACTCCCCTAGGTGGACCATCCGTGTCCACCAATCCGGTTAAAGTGCCGGACATTCGCTTTTCGTCCTCTCAATTTCGTAAACAACACCCCCGCCACGAGAAGGGAGTGAGTAGGACTTCCCTGATAGAGGCTATATATTCGCGTGGCCATGTGAGAGCATTTCGAGAGGGAGAGTGGACTCTCCCCACTCTCGGCCGTACCAGGGCATTTGGGGGCCAGTTAATCAATAGTGAAAAGTGGCAGCAATTTGATTTGTGACTTAATGGCATTCAACAAATCGACGTACAAATCACTTGGATAAATGTCAAGACTGAAATCGACCAATCTTTATTGGCAAATATGAATTGTGAGTAGATTGTAACGAATATTACTATGTGCAAGGATATCCAGATAACGAGTTTTAAACTAAGGCCTTAGATTCTACTGTTGAACACAATCCCGATACATTTCAAGTCAAATATGCTATATGAAGACTAAAAACACAAATTATCAGTTGGTAGAGAAGTAACTGACACAGGATAAAGTTCTGAACAAAGTCATGCGTAAGATCACTAGTTTATAGTCTCGAATGACGGAACGATAACACAAAAACAGGATGTATTAAACGCACACACACACACACACACACAAAAGTCGATTTACTTAACTTACATTTAATAAGCCAATTTCTTTCTCATAATTCATACGTGCTGCTTCAAATTCAGCATTATTTTCTGCAGTCATTATTGCACCGTTACGAGAACGATCTTCTTCATTTGCCAGTAAATTGTTTTGTAATATTCTATGTTGACGCTGTAATTCACGATATTCTTGTTCTATCATAATCCAATTTTCTTGGTTTCTATTGCTTAAAGTAGTTTGAAAGATTAATTTATCTTTTGTAGAATGTAATTCACCTTCCTGTAGATAATTAAAAAATTTATACTACATATACATCCAAATGAATAGAAGTGGGTTGGATCGCTAATTAACAAAAAATATTGTTTAACACGACGAAACAATTATTACTGTGCCTTAAATGAGTAGGTACTCACCAATCGATAAAAGTAGTTAAGAATTTGATATTTTCAGATCCGAAAAAGGTTGTAGATTATCACATGTATTATAAGTTTCTGGAATGGAATCGCTCTTCGCTATACTGTATATTTGGAAACGCTCATGGTGTTGCAACTATGCCACTTTTCCCAGCGTGCTTTTGTTCTTCTTATACAGTTTATTGAAGAAAACTCTGTCCGAACAGTATTAATGGCTATTCCTATATTGCACTCTGAGATGTTTTCACTCATAACTATGCATTTCTTTTCAGTTTGAGAATCTTATTATTCGTAGAAAAGTTTCACACAGACATGGGAAATAACTTTTATATTGCGAGACTATTAACACGTTGGCCAAATTATGCAGCTACTTTACATTGATAACAGAAAACTGATTACAGACACCGCTCGCTAGTTGGAAACGTTGAGTAATATGATTCCGAATTGGCTACGGTGGCGTAGATGTTTAGCCTCTCACAATTATTATCATTACCGTTATCTTGACCCTGTTACTATTAATCTTATCGTGCTGAAGTAATATGCTTAAGAGCTAATGCATGTGTTCCAGAACTTATGTTGATTACAACATACCATTGGTAGATTGAGTAGTATAGTTTACACAAAAACATTTTAACGACTGACAAAACGTTGAGATAAGGAATAAGAGAAAAATATAATAATAGAGTGAGGAAATAAATTGGTCCTCTCCATCTGAGCTCGCGTTCACTACACTATCAGTACGTATGTTAAAAAGATATTTTTCTTCTTAAATGTTACTTTATTTATAATTCAGAAATGCTACTTATATCAACAATTATAAATTTAAGTACTCAGTTTTCAGTCGCACGTTTATGTATGACGATTTGTCATATTACCCGACTGTCTAAACCAAAGTAGGTAAAGTAAGGTTTCGAGTTGATTGGCTGGAAGACAAATGCTTTAACCATTAAGTCAGGCCACTGCACATATGCTTATGGGAACCGGAAATACTGTTGTATAAGAACAACGACTAGATACTTATTGATTTGGATTTCAAGGTCATTCATTGCAATAGTAGTAACCTGTCAACCAATCTGTATTTAAATACCGAAATATTTAGATTTAGAAATTGTGTCCAAAGTTATTTCATGACGAACAGTAATGTATAAATCTGTTTCTTTGACAAAATCTAATACCAGACTACTTCAAGTGATGTGTATACACCTACTTTTCATGTATATATATATATACATATATGCGTGTCTGGTTACTATCTTATAAGGTAAGTGAAATTCAGTAAAGAAAAATGTCTATTTTCTATTTGATGATATAATTGTCTGAAATCGTGTTTACATTAAGGTAGTTTTCTTATTAGTACACTAGTTGGCATAGTCACATTTTGGAAAATACAACCATGAAAATGGTAATAGATTATGTAATGATGTGCAAGACAATGTGTGTACGTATGTCCATAAAGTGATAATAGTTGAATATGATATTTTTATTCCATAAAAAAAGTAAAATTTTGAACAAACTTATTGAAGAAATAGATGAACATTATCAGAAGGGGTTTGGTGGAGATTTTAGTGATTTTATAGAGTTGAGATCATGAGTCAATTGAAGCTAGACTACCATGGAAAATCTGGAAGTAGAGACCAGTGGAGTTCAACCAAGTCTGTTGTAGAGATATCAACTCATTGAAGTTAGACATTAACATCGTTGGATGCAGACCGGCCGGCTCAGTGGTCTATCGGTTAAGTGCTATGGCGCGAGACTGGTAGCTCCTGGGTTCAAATCTCATGAGTGCGGGATCGTGGATGCGCACTGCTGAGGGGTCCCACAGTAGGACGAAACGGCCGTCCAGTGCTTCCAGGTTTTCAGTGGTGGTCTAGCTTCAATTGACTCATGATTTTAACTATGAAAAAAAGTATTTGCCAAGAAAGAACGTAAGAGATCAGAATGTAACTGTAGATTGTAGTATTTATTTCATAGTCAGTCAAAACAGAAGGAAATGTGAAAGAGAAAATCAATGTAAAATAACTTCTTAGAAACCTAAAATAATCTATTTTACAAGCTGAAAGAAACAATTATAAAATTGATGGTCACATGACAGAAATATTGACACTAGGTGGTAGTTAGTAAAAATAATAGTAGTGGAAAACAATCCACAGTACACTTCTACAAATTAAAGCGACCCATTCAACAAGTACACGTTAAGGTACTAGGCTTCTGAGCCATACTGTGTGTGAAGGCTAGTGATAACCAAATCGCCAAACTAGGATGAGTGAACGGGAGTTCGGACCTCTGAAGGCCGAATGCTTTAACTAATAAGTCGCCACCTAACAGTGAATTAACAATTAACCCCGATTAAAGTAGCAAATGGAATTATTACGATGAAAACATATCTCGCATTTAACCGACAAAGCACACTACAGTTATCAACGATTCGACATGTGAAATAAACATCCTGATCAGTATGACTTCACAGTTTAAATTACTTTTTAGTGGAGTAATTGCATTCACAATTACATTGTCCTTGAGTAAAGGTGAGAATACATGGAGCAAGTATCTTACACACCTGCACATGACTTACACTCCAGGCTAGAAAACATTTCATATAATGTCAACGAGTAACTCACCATTTCAGTTAACCGTTGTTCCAATTCACAAGCATAACTTTTTGATTGAGCTATTTCTTCATGTAGACGAACTAATTCGTTTGAAAGACCTCTACGATCTGCTGCTGCCGCAGCACTATACGCATCAACCGTTGAAGCAGGCAATAATTCCGGTGATAACAATTCATTAGGACTAGTTGTTGTCGTTCTTGTTGTACAAGACATTTCAGTTTGAGTAGTGACATCAGTAGTCTGTCAGAAAATGAATATAGGTGAGGTAAAAAGCAAAGATATCCTTTATTTAAGAACAAAAAAGAAAACTTTTCTATATGTTAAAAAGATTTATGCAAGATTCCTACCTCAGTTATGGATAGCCTATTACTGATAATTTGTTCAAGCTCACACAAACGCTTAGTTTTTTCCTCAAGCAGTTGTCTAGCTGAACCAAGTTCTTCATCGAATTGTGACTGAAAGAAAAAGGAAATTTACATGATAAGGAAATTTTTTAAATATATGGGAATCAGAAAATATGATGACGTAATAGTGGTAATGATAATGATAATAATAATATTATTAATAATAATAAGAATCACTTAACTACCGATTGGTTTGATGGGAACACGCAAACTAGGAGACTAACAAAATATTTGCTGTGTGATTTACAAAAAATTGTGATAGAAACGAACAGAATAGTTTTAAATTTTAGAAGGACAGTGAGCCTGTGTTGAATCGCAATGAGCAAAAAACGCTTACTGTGGAAAACGTGGAAAGTATTTTTATGAGTACTAATCAGTATAGACTGGAATGTCTAATTAGAGTGTGAAAATAAACTGTACGGTAAACCAAATTCGCCTAGAGAACTATGATGGATATTGGTTATTTGTTTATAAATCAATGTGTGAAATAGCTATTTACTGTAGCCCCCAAATGCTCTGGTACGGTCGAGAGTGGGGAGAGTCTGCTCTCCCTCTCGAAATGCTCTCATATGGCCACGCGTATATAGCCTCTTTCAGGGAAGTCCTACTCACTGTCTTCTCATGCCACAGGTGTTGTTTACGAAATTGAGAGGACGAAAAGCGAATGTCCGGCACTTTAACCGGATTGGTGGACACGGATGGTCCACCTAGGGGAGTTGGAAAACCATGATTCCAAACCAATGGTGCACATGGGCTACAGTATCCTGAGGGAACAAATGGCGTATGAATCAATCGTTGGTCACCGGCTACCATGGGATCGCATCTCCTCACGATGCTCCACTGCCTTGTGGACTAGACCTTCACGTCAAATGCTCCGGGTGTGGTCCCCTAAGAAAACCACCTGCTTCAGTTTGGGCACCTGGGCAGTATCGTAGCCCTCACACAAATGAAATGAGATTTGTGTGGCTCAAATATATCTAGTGTCCCCTTGTACCAATATTTGCATGTTTAAATAATAATAAAATATTTACTGTCAGTAAGTCTAATAAAATATATCAACAGATGTGATCCGGAGAGAGTTAAGTATAATCAATCGAAACACACAAATTTGGTCATAGTTTAAGTAAGTTATTTATTTATTTATTTAAACACATAAATATTGGTACAATGAGGCACCAGATACATATCCGCCACACAAATCAAATGAGATTTGTGTGAGGGCTATGATACTGCTCAGGTGCTCAAACTGAAGCAGGTGGTTTTCTTAGGGGACCACACACCAAGCATTTGACCTAAATGTCTGATTTACAAGGCAGTGGAGCATCGTAAGGAGATGCAGTCCCATGGTATCCAGTGACCAACGATTGATTCATACGCCATTTGTTCCCTCAGGATACTGGAGCACACGTGCACCATTGGTTTGGAATCAGGGTTTTCCAACTCCCCTAGGTGGATCCTTCATATCCACCAACCCGGTTAAAGCGCCGGACATTCGCTTTTCATCCTCTCACTTTTGTGAACAACACCCGTTGCACGAGAAGGCAGTGAGTAGGACTTCCCTGTCAGAGGCTATATATTCGCGTGGACATATGAGAGCATTTCGAGAGGGAGAGTGGACTCTCCCCACTCTCGGCCGTACCAGGGCATTCGGGGGCAAGTAAGTAAGTATCATTGTATTTACAACGAAGTGACTGACACTTCAGATTGTCAACTATTAGAATACATAATACTTAATGATAGCAATGTGTTTGAGAAGAAAAGGTGCGAGTATTACCTTTTGTCTCAGAAGTGAACGAATGTCCATGATAAACTGAATAACGAAATAACCATTAGGCCACTGTTGGTTATTTAAATGTTTTTATTAGAAGTAAAATACATAGATAAGCAATCAAACAACTATATAAATTTTATTACTACAAAAGGGTTTCTATACAATACAAACCGAATCATTGGAGCAAACAGGTAACACTACTAATTTGCATATGTGTATACTGTGCGTACTGCCTCAATATAGCCTTAATTCACAAACATTATAAGCGAAGATGGATAGTGGCTAGCAATGTAATCCAGTTCGACGCGCGTTTCGTCCTATTTGGGACTCGTCAGCTTGATGTACCTGCATCTCAGAGTTGATGTTCACTCAGGGACTCGAACCCAGTACCTTTCGCTTCAAACGCCATCGCGTTATCCACTCAGCTACTGAGTCCTGATAGCCACTTGATTGTGCAATGTGGTAAAGTTTAAATTCACATGATATTGTTTGTTTGAATTTTACCATTGATGTTTAGGACTGCAGCTGACGAGTCCCAAATAGGACGAAACGCGCGTCCTGGATTCTACTGCTGGTCGCTATCCATCTTTGCTTACAATGCTTATGAAACTATATGTTATATTTAAGACTCTAAGAAATGACATCAGAACTTATTGGAAATAAACCTATGAAAGAATAAATGAACAAACATATCGATTGAAATGTGCTCACTTGCAGTTTTGATATGAATAAACGGGCAGACTTTAAATCATCCTCTAATACTGTTCCCAAATTTTCACCAGGCTTCAAAAGTGACAAATCTTGACATGAATTATTCAAAATGGGATGCTGATCAACTTTAGGAGAAAAATGAAAACAACAGTGTGATTTAAATAAACTATAAACTTAATAAGTCAGTCAGTCACAACGTAGAACTTCATACGTACGTACATCAGTTCGAGTTGCCATACCACATTAGCACAGAGATGCAGTGGATAGCATCAGTAATTAGAACAGAAATAATATTGGTGAGATTTTAGTGAATACAATTAACAATATTCTACATTATGCAAGTAGTTAGACGTACATAAAGCTCCACATAAAAATAGAAATTAACGGTGTTATCAGAAGGGGTTTTGTGGAGATTTAGTATTTTCATAGTTGAAAGCATGATTCAATTGAAGGTAGACCACCATGGAAAACCTGAAGCACTGGACGGCCGTTTCGTCCTATTATGGGACTCTTCGGCAGTGCGCATCCACGAACCCGCACTCGCGACATTCGAACCCAGGACCTACCAGTCTCGAGCCAGAGCCCTTAACCGATAGACCACTGAGCTGGCATCCAGTCAAAGTTACTATTTCTTTCATATAACTCATTTACCAAGTATAGTTTTGTATGTTCTACTTTGAGACAGGCTAGTTATATGTACAGGTTAACGATACAACTCAGTTGTCTGGAAACAAAGGCACCTAGATTAGAATTTACAAACTACTGGTTGAAAGAGCTATCAAGTATCATCCTATTTTTAATACTTGTTCACAACTGGCATGATTATATGATGGAAATGAGTTGATCATAAATTTCCTAAGATACATTCATTCAATAAAATGATCAGTACGTGACGGTTAAACGACAATGAAAGCCATAAGTAATATGTACAAACAACACTCAAAAAGGAAATTCATAATTTAGGCAAACTTAAAATAATATATGTGGGTAACTAGAATCATGTTTATTATCATTATATCTACTTAATAAATTCGTTCAGGACCAAGTCTAAAATTCTAAACTAGATCTGTTCGGTGAAACCTGATGATACTTGATATACCGCGGTACGATCATGGAACTGCAAACCAGACTTAGTGAGTCGAGTAAATAAGATGACACAAAATTAATGCCGTAGATTTACGACATACAATTACAACTAACTGGAACAGATGGTGAGTCAGCCAGTCATAGTCAATGTAGAATTTGACAGTCAGTCAGCTACAACGTAGGACCAGGCACATTTATGCATCGGTCCAAGTTGCCATACCTCGTTATCACAACAAGATCAACACCGAATTCATAGTAGTTAATTTAGTGGTGGTAGTATATAAAAGATAAAATCTGACAGGATGTGTACAGCTTAGAAACTGTATAGTCCCCTTAGTAACAGCAAATCAAACGTGTTTGGATATTCGTAGTTGTTTGATTTACTGTTGTTGTTTTTTACATAGGATATTCTAGTGACTTTCATCAGTTGGAACATTGATAGAAACATGAAATTTTGTTACAGTCTGATTTTTAATTGAATAGAAATTCTGTGTATATCCCCACTTCTTTATGTACATATTTATAACATAATCTGACCGATAGTAATACGAATATTTAACTTCCAGTCAGTGTGTTGCAGTTAGTATCAGTAGCTCTTAAATGTTTATTTTCTGTGCAGATTATGTAAATTGAAATGAAGATTCATTAAGATAAAAAGAGGCTACAAATTAGATTTCCGAATGTGTAACCAATGAATTGCCTGACTAACTCAGCCTATAGCTCCTCCGAAGGCTGTTGCCGGTCCCAAGCCCGGATAAAGGAGGAGGGGGTTAGGTATGGAGTTAGCGACCCAATCCCGTAGAAAACAAACTCGCTAAAAAAACTAACCAGGAAAATTAAGTAGAAATTTATTTATTTATTTAAACACATAAATATTGGTACAATGAGGCACCAGATACATATCCGCCACACAAATCAAATGAGATTTGTGTGAGGGCTATGATACTGCTCAGGTGCTCAAACTGAAGCAGGTGGTTTTCTTAGGGGACCACACCCGGAGCCTTCGACCTAAATGTCTGATTTACAAGGCAGTGGAGCATCGTAAGGAAATGCAGTCCCATGGTATCCAGTGACCAACGATTGATTCATACGCCATTTGCTCCCTCAGGATACTGAAGCCCACGTGTACCATTGGTTTGGAATCAGGGTTTTTCAACTCCCCTAGGTGGATCCTTCATATCCACCAACCCGGTTGGAGCGCCGGGTATTCGCTTTTCGTCCTCTCAATTTCGTAAACAACAGTCGTGGCGCGAGAAGGCAGTAGGTAGGACTTCCGTTGCAGAGGCTATATACGCGTGGCCATATGAGAGCATTTCGAGAGGGAGAGCAGACTCTCCCCACTCTCGGCAGTACCAGGGCATTTTGGGGCTCGTATTTTTGGGCGACTATTATTCGAGTGAATCTTAAAAACACCGGTGAACTCAGGTTTTATCTAACAATATTTGCGACTGTACTGATCACGTTTAATGAGTTTTATCAACCATAGTAATCACATGCAATCGATTTTACAATTCTGTTCAGAATTTGGTTCATTGAAAAAACAGTTTTCGTTTCTATACTGATGATGTTAAACTGTATTTTCTTTTTTGGAAAAATTGTTTACAGACATTTATTTTAACTGACACATTGGACAGAGACAAATCTCCTTTATAATCTACGGTTGGTTTATTGGATGACACCATGTGAATAATCCATATTTCGTTGAACATAATTATAAACCGGCTAAGATAGAAATTAGGAACGGTATGAGATAAAATTTTCAACATTATTTTTATATTCACATATTATTTATTTACATTAGTTCGACAATCTGAACAAGGTTATTGGGACTACAATTCCTTAACAAAATAAAATGTCACCCGACCAAGGAAAATCCACTGGAACCAGTGAGTGACAGTTTCAATCAACAATGTCAACCTGTACAGCTACACAAGAATGTGTTTTCAACCAGATTTAGCCTTCGCTAATCTCCATGATCTGTAATGGAAACTATGTCTATATGGAGAATTATATTAAATAAACCTGTTGTTAGAAAATCTGATGGTAATATTGACATGAAGCAGAGGATTAAGATTGGGTACATAATAAAACGATAGACAAAAGCTTTGTTGAGTCATCTGTGAAGCAGACAAAATATCTGTTTACATATTGAGAGATAAGAATACTTAGCATAACTATAGGGGTATGAGACATGATCATCTTGACCGAGAACATGCATAGATCACAGGGATTAGATAAGAGGAATTTTTCAAATAATGCTTGAGAATAGTGGTACCACCAAGTACATAGTACCGACATCAGAATTTTTTCCATACACATTTCCATTCACTCAATTCTCTTCACTTATGCAAACTCTTCAAATCCTGTTCAATTATTACGTAACCCATCTTATCAGTTTTTTAATTCCAGGAATCTTGTGTAAACCCTTCATTACCTCTAAAATTATCATACAATTTATCTTAACTATCCCTGAACCTCACTTAATTAATGCATCACTTACCCACCCCCCCTGTTTTTGATTCCAGCACCAAATGACCTCCGACCTATTCATGTCAGTCAGTCACAACGTAGAACTTCGTACGTATGTACATCGGTTCGAGTTGCCATACCACATTAGTACAAAGATGCAGTTGTCGACTCAAATCCCATAGTAATAGAGGTAGTAACAGTTTAAGCAGTAGTTAGAAAGATTAGGGCTTGAAGATATTATTCAAGGAGTATAATCCAGTGCAATTAATTCGGAAAGAGAAGAAAGATAAGGACATGAAGAATTCAGAAGATTAGAATTTGGCAGAACCCAGAGAGTGGATGCACCTTCGTCATTGCAAACGATTTTGAGCCATGTCATTCAAGGTCTCTAACCATCGGTTGCTATCATCTCGCGCATCCCAACCAGGTAGTCTACACCTACCAACATGTCTCAGTCCAATTGTCAGTAACTTCATGGACTTATGCCACGTTTTGGTCTGGCCGCCCCTAGCTTTATTCCAACCTACTCCTACACCATAAAACATTGCAAGTCGGGGCAGACGGTGGTTGGGCACACGTAACACGTGTCCCAGCCATCTCAACTGATGAAGTTTCACTATTTCATCAAGCTATTTGCTATTCTTACCTGGTACCCGTGTGTTGTATGCTGTATTTGGGAATCTATATAATTTCCTCAATATAAATCATTAGAGTAGAATGTTAGTCAATCATAAAAACTAGTGTATATAATAATAAAATAATGCAGTAACTTACCAACTTTATTACCTTGTTCGGTACATTCAATTTCTTCTACATTACAATTAGATTGATGACAATCTAATGATTTATTATTGGGATGTAACTTTTTTATGGAATATTGCAGTTTAAGTTGTGTTGACATTTCATGTTGTTGTCTTATATCCTTTTCGATTAATTCACGTTCACGAAGCTGTTGTAACAACTTAAAGAAATTACAATTAAAAACGTTTCATGAGACACATTATGAATAGAAAATAACTATGTTAGAATACAATATGAATTTTGACAGAGAGCTTGGATGATATGGTAGCGTTCGAACCAACCAACACCTAGTAAGATTATACTACAAAACAGATTGGAGATATACCATAATGATGGATATTAACTAATTAATTAATGCCCCAAATGCCCTGATACGGCCGAGAGTAGGGAGAGTCCGGTCTCCCTCTTCAAATGTAATCACATGACCACGCGTATACAGCTTATACCAGGGAAGTCCTACTCATCGCATTCTCGTGGCGGGGTTGTTGTTTACCAAATTGAGAGAACGAAAAGCGAATGTCCGGTGCTTTAACCGGGTTGGTGGACACGGAAAGTACACGTAGGGGAGTTGGAAAATCCTGATTCAAAACCAATGGTGCACATGGGCTCCAGTATCCTAAAGGAACAAATGGAGTATGAACCAATCGTTGGTCACCGGCTACCATGGGAACGCATCTCCTCACGATGCTCTACTGCCTTGTGGATCAGAACCTTTAGGTCAAATGCTTGGTGTGTGGCCCCCTAAGAAAACCACTTGCTTCAGTTTGGGCACCTGGGCAGTATCGTAGCCCTCACATAAATCGAATGAGATTTGTGCGGCGCATATGTATTCGGTGCCTCTTTGTACCAATATTTATGTGTTTAAATAAATAAATAAAATAACTTATATTTCTACAGACTCGTTGTACAGCTTCAGTAAATGGTATCGTTGGGAAGATAATTATCTTCACTGAATTACATTTATCCTCCATTCAGTGATACAATATGTTACTCAAATTATTCAAAAACATTCTATTAGATATGAATCTTACTTGAGCTTCAACATCACGTAATTTCGACTTGAGTTCTTCAATTTCACTACATTTAACACGTCTTTCTTTGAATTCTCTTAATTGAGAAAGCTGTTGATCTACCTACCAATAAAAAAGTTTAAAATGTTTTTTTTGTTATTCTATACTAATATGACAAAAAAAAACTAAATTTTATGAGATTCCGTAAAAAAAAAATTGAACACAAATTGTTAGTGTAAAAAATATGCTCCTTTTGAACCATATATCAATACAAAATGATACTAGTTGACTAAGTTAGTAACTACTTAACTCATTAACTGAATGGAAAAAGCATTGGCGTTTGAAGCGAAAAAATGTGTTCCATTCTCAACGTAAACATCAACACGGATGATGTAGGCGCATCCAGCTGATGAGTCCCAAATAGGAGGAAGCATATGTTCTGAAATCCATTCCTCATGTTTACAATTTTGGTGGAGTCAATATTATTTGATTTTCTTTCTGCTTTTTTTTATCTTGTTTATTTTTGTCTTTCTCACCGTGCTAATGTGGTGTGACAACTTGGATTAATGCATATTTATTCCAGATGAAAGTATTTGATTATAACAAACTGGTTAGGTTACGTTATTCTACGGTCACACAAGTTTATTGATATAAAGAAAATAGATCAGTAATAAAATGATAGCTCCTAAATGCCCTGGTATGGTCAAGGGTATGGAGAGTCCGCTCTCCCCTTCGAAACGCTCTCACATGGCCGCGCGTATATAGCCACTGCAGGAGAAGTCCTACTCACTGACTCCTCGTGGCATGGGTGTTGTTTACGAAATTGAGAGAACGAAAAGCGAATGTATGGTGTTTTAACCGAGTTTGTAGGTATGGAGGATCCACCTAGGGTAGTCGGAAAACCCATGGGGTCCAGGATCCTAAGGGGAAAAATGGCGTATGAACCTATTGCTGGTGATCGGCTACCCTGGGACTTCATCTCTTAACTCTGTGTCCATTCCCTTGTTGATAAGACCTTTGGGTTCAATGTTCCCAGTATAATGCCTTGAAGAAACTACCTGCTTCGGTCTGGGCGCTCGGGAAATATCACGGCCCTCATACGAATCAGTGATAACTACTACTGGAAAAATCTCTCTTGCTTCAACGCTCGCTCAGACAAATCTTATTCATGATCAATGATCAGTCAGTTACAACCTAGAACTGATCATGATCAATGATAACATTCGTCTTCACTTCCTTTATACTATGTCAGTTATGTATTCTCCTTTATTCTTATTTTGCGTATTTTTACAGCGGAAACCCTGTCCTATCTAAACGACCACGAGTCACTGACTAGTCAAAAGTTGAATGCTACCACCGAATACGAATACTAAAGCAGTTTTTTCTGAAACCACGTATACCATTCAAACTGGTCACTGTCAACGTTCGCACACTAATGCAGATTGGACAACAGATAGGGTTGGCTATGTCTACCCGAGACTCGCATTCAAGACTCTAGTGAAGTATCACAAAAGCGCTCCCCATCTGTAACTTCAAAAAGCTTATTTTATGTGCGTTTATCTGGAGACCCTGTGGCATTTTCGTCTGGTTTTGCTGGCGTTGGTGTCGCACTAAGAGCTAAAGCTAAGGCAGCACTGACCGATTGCATCTCCATCAACAGTCGGTTATGTACTGTTGGATTAGAAAGTTCCACCAAAGTATGAAGAAATCGGTGTGAGAAACGATGTCTTTTTATCATCTCCGTCCATGCTCCTACAGATTGCAGCCCAGATGCGATCAACAATGAGTTTTACCACCAGTTAACTGTTCTACAGAAAGTGATTTCGACAGATGCAGTTGTACTAGCCGGAAACTTAAATACTCAGGCCAGGCGTCTTGGAACAGAAGAATAATTTGGCCAGAGAAGCTATCAGACATGGCTCAGAATGGAAGCCAGTGGCGATCCTGCCGTGACTTTCTTTTACCTCATGAAAAATGAACGTAACTGCTCCAACTGAAAGGATTCTTTCTGGTTGCATTTCTCCTAACTGAATTGTTTCTCCTATTATTATTATTATTTCACTCTCATACACTAATTTCTGTTCGTCGTTGTTCTTTTATTACGCGCACTTCGCGTTATCTATCTCTTCACAACCTCATTGTTATTGGGTGACGCAAATATATTTGGTGCCTTCTTGTACCAATGTTAATGTGTTTTAATAAATAAATAAATAAATAAATAAATAAATAAATAAAATGATTGAGTCAAGCCGCAATGACGTCTAAGCAAAAAAGACTAGCCTACACTTGGATACCTTCATATATAATGAATGAAGGTACACATGTAGTAACCCACTTACTTTCAGACGAAGATCTTCACATTCTTGCTGTAAATCAATTTTTTCCATTTCCAACTTTCGTGTATGAGCCATTAGGTCTTGAAAGCCCATAACGCGTAGTTTCAGACTAAGTAAAAAAAGGAGTCACGAAAATAAATTAGTACATGAAAATTTAATTTTAACGAATATTCATTTATTTATAACACGAAACGGTACAATGTGGGATTAAATTGCATCGTCTAGTATAAGTATGTCATCTTCATATTCAATGAGTCTTTGCTTCAGATAACGGATTCAAATAATCAACACGTACTTCCTTCAAAGCTTCTCCCAAAAGATTGCTGACAGCAAGATCAAAGAGGAATGGAGGGGTTGTACAGCCCTGTCTACCCTTACGTTTGGACTGAAGATAGTTCTATGACCTTATTCTGAGGTATTTGTGTACAGAGACTTACTAAATGTACAATTATTCAACAGAAACATCGAATACAGCTTTGACCAACAAACTGAAGTAGGCCCTGACATTAAAAAAACAACTTTTGGTCTGCAGGTATGACGGTGTTCAGGTATTTGGAAAAGAGAGAGGATGGACCAAAAGATTCACGGCCCAGTCATCTGTTATGCAAGAAATAATGATTAGGACAACTTACTTCTTAATTTCTTCCTCTCGCAAAGCCAATTCATTACGACAGTGTGCTAATTCATCTCCCTGATCATGAAGGACTGCTAGTTCACGAGATAAACGGAGAGCCCGAGATTCTGATTCAGTTGCTCGAGCAGCGGCTTCTTCAAGCTGTTTTCGTAATCCAGAAACTAAACTCTCCGCCTCATCTCTACAAACTCGTTCCTTCTCAAGTTCCACTGCTAAACGACGCTTTTCACGTTCTGATTCTCGAAATTGTGTCTGCAAAAATGAGCCAAAATAGGTCTTATAAGTCTTATAACCAGAAAAACACGAAATGGATATTTAGGCTAAAAAAACAGGACTATGGCACGGAGGGTAATAATTACACCTCGTAATCGGATAATTAAGTAGCCGATGAAATCTAGGACCTCACTGCAGTGTTTATTTTCCTCTCCCTCTCTCTCTTCATGTCAGTTTTGAGTAGATAAGATAGTTTCAGCAAAATCGTTTAGTAACTATGCAATGTGTAAAGTTTTGTGTTGTTAACTAAGAGTAGGCCTGCATAATTTGTATTGAGCACCCAGACTAAACCTCAGTAGGAAGCACTACAATCGGCATGAAACAACATTCAGAAAAGGTGCAGAGAAGCTTGAATAAATTCGGCTTGCAGAGATAACCTCTTAATCAACCATGGCTCTGAAAACTGCACCAAAAACGCAGCAAGAAGTACCGCCGAGTTTACGTATGACCCAGCAGCTAGTGTCATTTTCAACAGATGTCAGTATATTTTTAGCACTAGTTTCATGAAAAAGGTGCTTGAAAGGTTTGTGTAATAGGAAATTAAGACCAGTAGTAGATAAATCATTCAGTTACAACGTAGGACCAGACACAAATATGCATCGGTCCAAGTTGCCATACCTCGTTAGCATAACAAGATGAACATCAAATTTATAGTAGTTAATTGAATGATGGTAATATATAAAATAAAGATTGTATTTAAGATATAGTACAGGAAAAATATATGAAGCAGATAAATAGCTCAATTCCATACTAACGCAGAGTCAAAAGACTGAATTTTCGTTTAAAACAACGAAAGCACTGATTTAACTTAATTGTTAGATACATGTTAATGCATTCAGTTTTGAGTCACAGTTGGGCATGAAGTCCATGTATACTTAGCTACCCAAACTGGAGTTTCTAGGGGTTCGAACTACCTTGATGGTTCAAATTGTAGTGATTTGGGCAATGTCAGGAAACAAAGCTTAGTCCACCTACAACCATCGTCAAGTCCAAAATTAATGGTTATCAGCGGAAAATGTACGGTAATAATCAATGAGAAGTAAGTATATAAATTGCGATCAATAGAATAAGTGAATGTAGTTTGACTAAAAACAAAAGGGGAGGTATAATCCTGTATTACATCAGCAGTTATAATATTATGAAACCACTTAGTGTAGAATCAGTAGAAATTCCCCAATATGTCAGTCAAATTTAAGCCTCTTTAAACAACCAAATACAAAACTGAGGATTTTAAATAACTGTAGAAAACTTCATGAGTTGAGGTGAAAAATAGTTAACAAGAACATAAACAAGACACGCATGTTTACCTTGTGTGTCAAAGATGGAGAATCTAGGAGACACTTTAAGGATGTGAGAGGCGAGGCTAAAGGTGGAGGTGCATGATGAGTATGATTCGCATTATGTTCCAAATTATCGGTTAAATTCAATCTGGATGCAATGCACAGACTTCGATCAGGAGTGTTACATAAAGAAAGATTATTAGGTCTGTGATCAAGACCATTTTTTAGTTTGTTTGTATGTCCATTAGCATATTCTGTAGGCGAATTAGGGCGAGTGAATTCAAATCCGAATGTGTTCACTGAAAGACCAAAATTTCTATTGTCAGTACAAACTACTTTCTGTCCGTTACACATGCCTGTTGAAGATGGTGGCTTAGATGATGGTTCTGAGATTTCTTCCTGTATAAGCAAATCGAAAGTTACGATTCAGTAATAAAATAAAATTAGATAATTGTCTATATAATAGTTATAAATAAAAGTTGCTGTCATAAAACTCCAACCAACAGGTTAGTTTATTTGGTAGGACGACACGCAGATCTTTCTGTAAGTTAAAGTGCGGTGAAGCTTGGATAGTAGTGATCATGATTAATTTTATTGGAAACATTTATTAGAAAACTTTGAAGGTTTCATCTGAAGCTAAGTACAAATGTAGGACTTACTTCTATTTTACAAGTAATGGTTTGATGACGAATTGGCAAGTTATCATTGTGGATACACTGTGATGAATCGAGAATTCTGCTTGTGACCAGATCCCGAGTGAACTCATGATGGAGCGATAACTGGGTCATAGGCACTTGAATTAAATGGAATATAGCAGTTTGCATATCCAAACTCAAATCCAGAGCAGGATCCATGAATGACTGTTTGGAGGGACATTGAAGACATCCCAATAAAACGGTTAGGCATAACTGAAGCGAAATAAAATAAGTTCAGTTCAACTTTATATATTACAGTGAAGTGAGAAAAGCATTTTTATACACAAATAATATTGCGGGCTACATTTAAAGAGCTACTACGCGGCAAAAGACGAGAAGGCTCTTGTTGAATAGTTGACGACTTGGACATCCTACCTGAGCAAGTAGCGACAGACAACACTAGACATTTTTAAAGTTATCCGGAATCTTCATTAGAGCTTTACTGGTCAACTTTTTCATCCCTGGGGACTGGATAACCAATAGAAAAAAACAAAACTACACTAAGTATCCATTTCTAAATGTAAGCTTATAATAAAACATTCCTGATGCTTTCTTTTTGTTTACTTGATATGATCTAAACAACAGCAAAAACACCTACTGAAATGTAGAAGACGAGGAAAATATGCAGGCATTAAAATATATCAAGTGTGTACCTACAGTAACCATTTTCTACGTGCCATAAGGCTACAGAAACAGCTACAATAACTCATGGAGACTGAAAATATAACTTACCCCAAACAATTCCACATCGCCAGCTTTCCCAGAAATCACACCTTCAACGTCAAATAAATTAGAAACTCCAGGATGAAAAATTGCTGAATACAATGAACGTGATGACTTAATCGCTTACCATCCAAAAACGAACCGATTCGCTCCTTGTAACATTCTGAGGTAGTAACTGATGGAAAAGCACCTCTAATTATTGTCATATACCAAACTACTAACTTACGAAAGGTCTATTAAATTGTTGAGGACTTCGCCGTCTATGAGGCTAACATTCCTCTCAGTTATTAATGAAATCCATTTTAATAGGCTTTCCTTCATAAAACCATCCATGAAACACCAGAAATACACAATTCTACACACTAGGTTTGTGGGGACTACTCAATAGGAAAATAAGGAAAAGGCAAACGATGAGCAATGCCAACCAAAACTTTGACTTCCTATTACGCGCATTATGCAAACGCTCACAGCGCGACCAAGGAATCTGATTCATGTAAACGATTCATGTGGTTCAAACAATTAGGAAGAGAATAGAATAGGCTTTCACCCAGCTAGTTTCCATATCTGGTTACAATCAACCACGGATGTCTCTAAGTAAGAATCTGAGTACATGAAACGTAAAGAAATGGATCATATTCAGGTAAATCATTTGGTTTTAGTTTGAATGGGATAAAAGTATGTGTGGCTAATGTAAGCCCTGATGATGGAAGTACCTTAGTTGATGTAAGTTTATTTTGAATGTCTTGACAAAAATAGATTCAATCATATATCAAATTAGAGAATTCTGCTAGTTGGTGACTCAATGTGAAAGTTTGAAGTTATTTGCCTAGTGAATGGTTCTGGACTTCTGAACATTTCTGGATTCTTCTTAGAAATATTAAGTTTTGAAATATAGGAAAAACGAGGGTAGTTCAGACGTGAAATTATCATCAAGTAGCTCAAAGACTATGACTAAGTTGCCTATGTGACAGGGTAAATAGGTTTACTTTAGTCACTCCCTCATTATAAGATTGGTTTGCGGTTCCTGGAATCAACTTAGCTGAGGTTCTTCGAATATCTTACAACAGTTCAGTCTTTTTCAGTCAGAAGCTGGCTGCTTGTATGCGGTACTCAAAATCGGGTCAAATGAACATCGTATGCGAAATCAAAAAGATATAAAGTCTAGAGGTTGTATGTATTATTCAGATAGTTCTAAAGCTTTTAGAGGCTATTGCACGGGAGTGCTAATCTAGTCTTGACTGGTAACAACTTCCAAACTAACATATCAAACTCAAATGTAGTTTGAAATCATTCACTGTGCATGTATTTGTGCCTTGTTGACCAATATGCATTATTTTTCATTTGCAAGCATGTATTGGCAACTAACAAATCCTAGATAACTCAGACCATTTCCGCAGGTATTTAGAAATTAAAAATCAGTTCTCTCATTTATGACCCTCAATGTTTAGATATTGTCAGCATATAAATAGACCGATGATGTTAGTAGAAAGGATTTTACAAATATTAGGAATTTCGCTGGTCCCGAAACTTATAGCAGCTTCTCTATCATGACGTTTGTGTGCGTTTTAATCCACTTTCAGATAGATGAATCAAATAAACCATTTTGAGCCATTATATGGACATATACTTGTCCTTATTAATTATTCGCTTGTGACCCTGAGCATTTTTATGGGAGCATATGTGTTATGTAGTAAGAATCTTTAATACGAACGTCAAGATAGTTCTACTGTCCTGCTGAAACGTGGAGAACTACTACACCCATCATCAAGAAGGTACAAGTATTCATAAATAGTTGTCTACGCAAAATACTCAACATTCATTGGCCGGATACCATCAGCAACAGCCTTCTGTGGGAGAGGACAAACCATCTTCCAACTGAAGAGGAAATTAGGAAAAGACGTTGGAAGTGGATGGGACATACATTAAGGAAATCATCAATGTGCATTACAAGGCAATCCCTAACTTTGAATGGTGAATGGAAGCGGAAAAGAGGAAGGCCAAAGAACACATTACGTCTGGAAAAAGAAGCAGATACGAAAAGGATGAATAACAACCGGAAAGAACTGGAAAGGAAGGTCCAGGATAGACTTAGATGGAGAATGCTGTTGAGCGGCCTATGCTCCTCGACGAGGGGTAACAGGCGTAAGCAAGTAAGTAAGTATATGTGTTATATGTCTATCCATTACTGCGTTTGTTTCCTGTCTTTAGTCTCCTCCCATCTGTCTAAATAAAAATGTTCAATTGCGTTCAGTCAAGGTGGATGGGTAGTGATGCATACTTTCGTGTTCATCTCATATCTGCTTGAGTGAATATCCAAAACAAATGCTGCCAACTTATTTCGCGTGTAGCTTTTATAAAAAATGGGGTTTAGCCTAAGCATGAATACGAGATGTAGTAAGGAATCTGAGTTTCATGGATTATTGTTTACTATCATCGTTCACGGGGGTGAAACCGGTAGTAAATTGTACTCTGTGGCCCTACGCTAAGCATCATGGTCCAACCAGACAACTGAGATTTGACATGCACTCTCTTGCGGTCCAACTAGGAAAACGCTTATATACAGGATTACACTTAATACCGGTATCGCCTAACCAAAGTAGCTGCCTGTTTTGTAGGTCTTTATCAGACCCCTACTGAACTAGATAGAGGCTACATTATGGGACTATATTTTAAACTGCTAATGATACATCAAGATTCCTTCTGAAGGACTTCAAGATAGTCACTTAAATCACTCTGGATGACATGAGCTTCCAAGACCTGACTGTGCCTAAAAACTAGAAAATGTGTTGATACTTCGTGATGCCCTTTGAATCCTATTCTTTGTCACAATGAACCATCAAGATTGCTTAACTCGTCGATACTTTTTTGTTTGGTCAGTTTAACTGCGTGTGTTGTTCTGCACCTTGTCAAATGTTATACCGAGTCTTCTAATTCGGAGACGAGTAAAAAGGGAAATCCTAACCATCACATGGTATCTTTACACACGACATAGAATTATACTTTTCGCATTCACTAAAGATTACGAACATTCACAAGTCCACTTCGCTATTTCATCATCGTCATGAATGTTCTTCGCATTTAAGGATGAGGTCCAGTGACCTGTATATTTCAGCAAAAGTCAGCTCTCGCTTCGTGTCTATCAACAGAAGGAGTTTACACTAAATGTCTCGGTAGGCAGTCTCAGTAACTCACTACTTGATTTCAGATGTGAATGATTTGATAGTGGTCTACGAATTTTCTAAGACTGTCCCCTCGAACGATTGGTTGTAGGCGGGAGAAAAAGTCACTAATATTTGTCACGCATTCTGGTAAAAGGTAGTGACCTTCGAATTTTTCTTGAATCAACCTTGTTTTTGAGAGTTTATAGCATAAAATGGGTGATTGGCGAACTTTGATAATAATATTTTTCTTACATGGCAGGTACACGTCCTTTTGCAGCCATGATCAATTACTTACAACACCGGATTACAGATAAGATTTTTTCAAGCAGAGTTGTTAAATAAATGACATCAATAGAAATAAGTGGCAGTATATTTTCGCAAATGTATCAGCGTGTTAATAATTATGTTTACAAGCTAGTGATTGACAAATAGCACAGTTTTTGTCAGCCGTTTCAGAAATAGCACCGCAGCCTTGGGCAAACATACAGAAAATCCAAGCTCGGAATTCTTGTGTTACAATCATGGTGATACTAAGTGTTATTGTAATACGACTGATTAAGAGATTTGCAGTTGTTATAAAGTGAGTGTTCAAAGAAGGTTCACCGAAGCTGTTTTGGGGTATTCGGACGACAAAGACTATCACCAAAGATGTCAACAACTCAAACTAGAACCTCTCTGGATCAGGCCTATCAAATTAAACCTTATCTTTCTCTACCGGCTTCTTAACGGTATTTCTTACTCTTCGCTATCTACCCCTTCATACTCTATGATACTGTCCCACAATCTACGCAATAAGGAAAGTATTCTAGCGATTCCAAAAACCCACACAAATTTACGCCAGAATTTTTTCGTTATTCACTACTCAACCATGTGGAATAGACTGCCAATGAACCTCCGATGCAGTGAAACTATAATCCGGTTCCGAAGTCTTCTTGATAAATTTCTTTCCGAAAATGGATTGTGTCACCTATTGAATATCAACGTGCTTAACAATGATTTATACAAAAAAGGTCCGTCATCTATCTAATTGACTGAAAAGCAAAGTGAAACCTTTGAAACTTTCATGTCTATTTCACATTATTTTATATTTATCTTAATATACAAAGTCTGTTTATGTTCGTATTTATAATTACTACTGTTATTATTATCATTATTGGTCTCTCGACACATTAGATATTCTTTCTATCTCTTCTTGTCCTTCTATTCAAATTTTATTCCTAAACATCCAAAGTTTACAATTAAAAACAAAAAACCCTATGTTACACTAAAATAAATTCTCAGATTTTTTTTAACAATCTCCACAACATATATATATATATTTATAACATACATAAATTTATATTTAAATTATTCTTTGCAATTAATTGTGACTATGATAGCATAATTTTTAATTATTATTATTATTATTGCACTAACGTTTATACTAATACCCGGTTTCACTCTGTATACTGTTACATAAATCTACACGTATTTATCCGTAAGGGTTTATTATTGTTGTTATTATTATTTCAAAATTATTCGTTCATCTCAAAAGTCTAGATCCATTACACTATTATGATCATGGTTGGATCCTTTCACTATGTGTTCATTTATTTTCTCTCTATCTCCTTTCTTTTCCCTTCTAAGTAAATATTATTTTTAAGATTACGAAGCTTTGGATTGAGACAATAACTTGAGTTACATTGAATTCAACTTATCAGACTCGTTTTATCTTCACTATGTATATACCCCTCATACATATTGATTATCTTTTGCACTTAATTGAAACTTTCATAGCATCTCCCAAAACTATGTCTGCACGAACAAACACTTATTCTAACGTCATATCTTACTGCAATAATAAGTTACTTACTTATCAATTTATTCTGTTTTATTTTATTTTTATTACTCGTTTTGCTATAGATACACAGTTGTTTATTCTTGTTCTGCGTTAAGATATTTACGTATTCCGCGTCTCCTTTATTTCTATTTCCTTAGTTTCTTCCTTTTCTCCTTCAAAATCAATTCAAAATTCTTGCCAATTACGCAGAACCTGATTTATTATTACTATAATTATTACTATTCTATTATTAATATTTTATTTTCCTCTTTCTTCCTTTCTCAAACATGGCATATGTAATGCTAACATTATTGAAAATAGTGTATTATTGCATTTTTGAAGAAACCCGAAAT